GGCGGCCGTCTGACCGACTATTCGGGAAGGAAGGAAGGAAGAAAGGAAAGAGTAATGTGCTGTGTGTACTTCCGATTTTCTTTCACGCTGCACAGCCGGACCACGCCCACTGACCGAACGTCCTCAATATTACACACTGTCGTCATTTCGGCGACCTGATGAACTTTTGTCCGCTATATTTATTAATAATAATAATAATATTGTCTACGGGAAAGCGACGTTACGCTTTCCTGTAGTCGCCCTAACGGGAAAAGCCGCAAAATGAACGCCGCCGATGGTGGTTTTTCCAGGGATACTCTTATCTCGGTATATATTTATATTATATATATTTTTTTAGTACAGCTTGTATAAAAAAACAACACATTTCGAGGGTGCGTGTGTATTTTTGTCGTTGTTATTAATATTGTTATTACAAGTCGTCACGAAAGATAGCACGAATGACCCAGTTTACAAAATGTATATTATACACACACACACATACTGGCTTCGTGCGCCGTCGCCGTTACGTGACGACCTTGATGCGATGCACTCGTTCGCATGCACTTACGACCGAGCAATTATGTATACATTTTAGAATTTTCATCGCGCTACACATTTCGTATTTAAATAATAATATCACATACTTTTGTAGGTACGCATATAGTTCATCTATCGTACGGGGGGAGGGAAGGGGGGTGGGAGTTTCATTATTCGATGATTCTCTGGTTCGTTATTGTTAACTTTTTATAAAACACTATAGGTACTATAAAACATTTTTTTAATATTTTTTTTTAATACTTTTATTTATAATATATACATATTTTTTTAACGATAGACATGTGCGTCAGAGTAAAATGTAATGAGGCGAACGCATAGCGCCAAATTGTCGCGGCCCATACGATTGACCGTTGACCGAGTTTCTGTTGAGCCGTTACCGCGACGGTATGTTCGGGCGAAAAAGCGAGAGTGTGTCACTCCCGCCGCCGCCTCCTTCTCCTAGTGGCGTTTTTTCGACGAGGCGCGCTTGCGTCGTCCCGATGCACCGCGGCGCATGCGGAAATGCAGTCTGCGTGCGCCCAAGGGCGATGGACGGGGTGTGTGCAGTAGAAGCGGTACGGTCGCGCGCGCGCATATCACTATAGGGACGGCGTCGATGGGATGACGGCCGCGGGGTCGGACGGCGCATCCTCGCCGTGCAATCCGGAATTCGGTGCACACAGACCGGTGCGTTGCCTTAGGTCAGTACAACGTTTGATTCGCTTTCGACGTTTCCATCGTTCCGACTACTGCTACGACCACGGCGATATAAAAATATTATAGTCATTCTCTGCACCGCACCAATTATAATTTATAATCAATTAATATTTAATACACTAATATAATATATTGGAAATATCGTTTCGAACGCCCTCCACACCCCGCTACTGCTGTACGGTAAGATCAAAATTAGTTATAAATATATTTTTATTTTTAAGCGTTACAAACAGATGGAAAATTAAAGGGGTTCTAAGTGGTTTGAGAAAAATCCAATACTTTTTTGGAAACTACCGGCAAACGATTTCGGGTTACCCGTACAATTTTACTAAATAAAAAAAATGTATATAAGTAAGACGGCTAATTATTATTTACATAAAACAAACGTGTTGACGCGTAAAACGTCATCGACCGCGTATCGGGTTTGAATGTAGTTAATTTGATGCACACAAAATGATTGTAACAATAACAACATATGAATGCATTTGCATGTGCAACGGACAAAACCATGGCGGCTCAAGGCTGCGGCCATGAACATCAATAATCTGTTATTATTATTATTATTATTATTGCATTTCCCTCTTTTATAGTATACAAATGCATAAGAATAATAGAATAACGCCTGTTCGTTCGAAACCGTTCTGTTTGCTACCGCGACACGAGTGTTAATAATACAATCATCGTCATGCAACTCATTTTCTTTGTGTGAAAAGTTTAAAAAAAATCTCAAAAATCCGTTTAAATTATTGCGTGTGACGAAAATCGTATTGTTAACTTCAGCTACTGCGCACATGATCTTATTGGCATAGTAATTGGGATTTTTATATAATAACGTAATTGATGAACAAATTATTATAGCTGTTAACTAATTACAGCTGCTATATAGGTATAAATGATCTCACAATTTTCCTAACTCATCAGGTTTGGTCAGGATTATATTGATAATATTACCAAATTACCATAGATATATTATATTAAGAATGTAAAAGTATATTATTGTGATTAATAAAATATTGTGTTCCACGCATTTTTTACACTGCTAAATAACCTAACCATTGCTCGCTGTTAATATAATATTCTAGTATACATATACAAAAAATGTTGTCTGGTTTGGTATAAAAAAAAAACAAAATCGACGATATCTGCAATTTATAAAGTTGTACTAAAATAATGTTCGTTTTTTCTTTTTGTTTTAAACGTTTACACGTTTGTATATACATATATATATTTATATAATATATTAATACAGTATTATGTCACATAGCACGTTTTAATTTCATCGAACAAAGCGCTCAGGCCGCTCTTGTCCTAAATATAATGTGTCTGCGCAAATATTCGGACGAAGGTGTTCGGAACACTTGTATAAATGTGGTTTTTTTCCAAATTTTTTTTTTGTTCATACCATGTTTACCGAGTACCGTTATTATTTCCGCAATAGTAAACAAAATGCGCCGTCGGTTCCATTTTCCTATAATAATAATAGTATCGAAATCGTTGTATCACGGATAAAATAACGAACGGCTTAAATTAATGTACTTATTTCTACTTCTTCGCCTGAACGTCGGTCTTCAGAGCTCTTTGGTAACACTTGAAACAGGATAAAATAATGTGAAACATATTTGTGTCGGCCTTGACTCTGATAACGCGGACGAAGGACGTTTTATTATTATTTTTATATACATATATTATAATATAGTACGGTAGCACAAAGGCTTCTGGTATGCGTGTATGTGTTGTAACCAACCTCTGGCTATTAAAGTAAAAAAAAATTGAAAAAAATGGTTGTTGATTGTAAATTATCATATGTATGTGTAATTTTTTTTGTAATAATAAATAACACAATATGTGTCTGTGTGCGTTCGATAATATCTGAGCAACGCCGTCACAACCACGTCCTTGACCAAAATGCATCTTGCACTTTACAAATGGGAATTAGGTGCATATAAACATTATGCATCGATAAGAGCCGCAATAAAGTGCAGCAGATAAGCGCATGTGATAGTCTGATGCAATTTAATTTGATCCGTTCGTGGGCGCATATGTGACAGCAAACGTTTTAAATTGTTTCATCGTGATAAGCACAAAATATAATATATACCGTTTCAGTTCATTAAACAAATTATTTATATTTTCATTATATACACTATTTTATTTAAAATCATTTCATTAAAACAAAAATGGTTTAATTTGTAAGACTTTTTATTGATAAAATGAAAATCTATATTACGGTGGTGCTTAACCAACGTTTTGAGAAACATTCGTTGTAACACTTAAAGTACATTATATTTTTTAAGTTATTGAGAATTCAATAATTTTCCCGAACGTTTTAAGGGGAGGTATGCGACGCATGTGCTCTAGATGGCTCTCCAGTGTCGGTTGTTTCCACTGTCGGTTTTTAGCCGCAAACAAGAGCCCAAAAACGAGTAGTTATTATTGACTAAGCGACATCCATTATAAAAAAAATAAAAAACAGTTGTCAAAATGTAATTAAAATCGTCGACGGCAAATATAGAAACGTTGGAATCGCAATCGGTTGTGAGTTGTGATGTTGATCATATAGATGAGTTTGAATAGTGTTAAAAAAAAAAGAAAAACACCTTTTTCAGTTATTTTATCCACACCGAAACGAAAATAAATTTGTTTGATTTTGGTTTTATTTATGCATTTATCGGTTACATCACAATGATAATATAGAGTACACAAAAATGTATAGTTGTAACTGGTACATTTGTTGTTGAGTCAATGGCAATGGGTACATAGTTTATTATACTATATTGTATACATTTGCAGCTGCCGTTTAGGACGCGAATTACCGATTGGCGTGATCGTCCAGTGTATTGCAATATTTCATTACTGTACGGCGTGTCTGATGTAGACATAACTGTATTTTAATAATAATTATTATCAACAATTATTTGTATACGTACCATCCATGGGCGGCGGTGAAAACGCTTAATTTTAAATTTAGTGCGCGCCAAAATCGAGTTCGGTGTAATTAGTTAAATCACTTTTTCCAATCTGTCTTTTTGTTTTTGTTCGGTTGTGGCGTGAACAAGTTATGATTACGCGAAGGTATTGATTAGTTATTCATTTTTTATTAAAAAAGTACGGGTAGTTAGCCCAAAAAAAAATGATAACAATGATGTACAGTAAAATTCAGTAAATTAGTTTAATATAAAAAAAAAAATTTAATACACGAAAATTTGATTTAAATTTTGTTTTTGTATTAATCACACAGTAAAATATTTCAAAATATACATATTTTTTGAAAATTTGTTGTTACAGTTATTTAAAAATAATTATTAATTAAAGATATTTTCGCTGTACGGGTTAAACTTACATAATACGCGTTATTTATATCAATGCACCTTATCTCGAGTGTATTAATGACATTTTTTTGTTTGTTATTTCGAAACGCTATATTGAATAAATTACGTTTATTTTTACTTCTTAGAAGATAACGACCATGTCGATTCCAACCACAATGGCAATATTAATAATAATTAATACTAATATTATTATCATAGGTATATGTGTCGTTACTCTATCGTGGTTTGCCCGACTCGACGGTTGTTTGTGAGATTATATTAATGAAGTACAAATAGTAGATCAAACGTTATATTGTTTTATTATGAATAGACGGGCGGAACGTTCTTGTAATTTAAACTATGCGTTGTCGCATTGGTTAGGCAACGCTATATATAAAAAATACATTATAAAAAAATAATAAATATTGAATCCAACGTTTTGTCTTGTTTTCTTTCCAGGTGTTTTAACTTTGTCGAATATTTATGGAGGACCAGTGAACCCGAACAATAATCACAATGAGACAGGTAAGCTGCGAATGCATTAATCAACGAATAATCGTTTACAGGATGGAAGAACGAATTTTCTTAAGCCTTTTCACTTGTTTCTCCTTCTTAGTAGCGACTCGTTTCAACAAATTTCGTTTGTATTATTATTTAAGTTTTCGCGTACCGCTTGTGCGGGTTTTTGTTTTGTTTTGTTTGGATGAACTCTTCTTCCTCTCCGACCTGGGTAAGGGTAGCTATTGAGGGTGGTCGCGTACCCGGTCGCACTATCGATTCCGTCTGGCGGTAGGTATACACGCGTTGGCAGTCGCTCCGGACCTCCGACAATACTTGGATTTCCCGGGGGGTCGTTAATTTTTCCCTTTTCTCTCTCTTTATTTTTATTAGACATTTTCGTCTCCGTTTGTACAAAAACATTGAACGCCACACAAAAACTTTCTTATACTCGAAGATCCTGCCCTCAACCCGCTACCTTACCCCCTGCCGCAGTCATACCTAATCGATATAGCGTGCGCCACAGTGCTTTATCCGCTCTGCCATTTTCGACGTCGAGACGGACTCACCCCCAGACGGTTTACCCACCCCCGCCGTCGCCAATCTACTGGATACAGCACTATACCACCCCGCCTCGCCTCCCCGCCGCTATTCGTGCCGCTAAAGTTCGTCGACCTTTGCCCAAAAATCGTTTTAACCGTCTGGATAACATTATAATGTTATTGTCGCAGTCCCACGCAATACCCGGCAGACATAATATTATTACACAGGAAAATGGGGATCATTGCCCTTTGGTCGGGTGTGTTTAGGTTAGGTTACGATAAAAATATTGAAAACGCTTTAATTTTTTTGTTTGAAACGGCTGTTAAACGTGAACTTTTTGGTTGTTTGTCACTTCGGACGACCTTCCAGAAAAGCGCGTTCTATTAATAGTATAAACGCTCTAAGGTCGCGGTTATTTGTATTTATTATTTATATAATAACTGCGTTCATATTTACATATTATACATATTAATACAACTCGGGACAAACGGATAGATATTATTATGGTTTAAAATAAAAATAAATATAAACGACCCGTCTCTTTATTTTTGCTTTTCGTTACACCGCCGCCTTGTCATTCTAAACGCGTCATAACGAAATTTACTGGCAACGTCTCGACACACATATAGTATAATATACACACACACACACACACATATATATATATATATATATATATATTTAATATATTTAAGTATTTATACACACATTTATATATGCACTGGTCGCTTCGGCGTCGGTTGACGGGATCGATAGTGCAGTTTGTAGGACTCTCGGTTGGCACTAGTGACCCATATACCGCGTTGCATCTGCCTCCTCTCCTCTCGTCCATCTACTTAGTCTCAGCCCTTCGCCACAACGCCATTGGGTGTATATACATATGTATTTTTTTTAATATACAACCGCCCCGCCATTCGCCTCGGCGGTATACGTGTGCATCGGTCGAGCACGTCAGTCGCCGTTTATACCATAAATGTGTGCAGTATTTTTTGGCCGTCAACCGTATCCAAATGCCGCGTCCATGCACGGCTAAAAATACTCCTTGGAAGGTGAAACCGAATAGAATAATAATATCATATATTATTATATTTACTCGCGCCGACCCTGAACGCCGCTCGGCGACCGTCGGTTTCTTTTATTTTCTGGCTTGTTTTTTTAATATAATCAATTTCTTTATTTAAAAAAAAAGTGTCTGTATATGTACCAAACCTAACCGATTTATTCTCGTATGTCATCAGGAAACGCCGCCAATGGAAACCGACTTGCCGTTCGACTTCAACTCGATCAAGGAAGAGGAATTCGACAAGTTTGTCGATTACATAGTGTTGGACCAGCCGCCGGATCCGAACAACCCAAACCGGGCGGAGAGCTCGTTGCCCAGGAACCTGAAGCTAAAGAAGATCGGCAAAAAGATCACTGGCGTTAAGAGTGCCATATACATTCCTTTGGGCACGAGGTTCGGCCCGCTGGTGGGTGAGGTGTGCGTCAAGGAGCATGCGCCCAACGGCAAGAGGAAATACTTCTGGAGGGTGAGTACCGCATATAACACTTAATTATCATACTTAACCATTTCGCTTCTCGACTAACTTATTTTGAATCAACATATACAGTAGGGTGAAGTGAGATAACTGCAAATGAATGAGACAAGTGCATCCGCTAAATTTTTCAAAAGAAAAATTTTAATTTTTAAATTCGAATGAAATGATTTTTACTACCCGATGTTAAATTATTTCAACGTTAAATAAAATAAAATAAATGTATTATTTCTATGTACAATTTTGCAGTTTTAGCTGTCTCACTTTACCCTACGTGTATTATATTATGTGTAACCCGGTTTAATGATGTATTCTCTTATCTACAACTATGTCCGTTTTAAATTAGGTCCAACTTATGCTAGAGCGAGACAATGTCTGGCGGAAAATTCGCCAACAGGTAAATAATAATTCGCTTTGGCTATTTAATTTAAATTAAAAAAAAAAAAACCTGCTTCTCAACATTTACTGTTGCCCTATTATTACTATAGGCTTTTCTATTTTTTGTAATGACCCAACATCCCTGTACCTTTATAGATCTACAAAGAGAACAAACCGTTTTACTACATTAACACATACGACGAGACCAAATCAAATTGGATGAGGTACGTCAGCGCACCTTACTCGCCTCAATCTCAAAATCTCATTGCTTGTCAGTGCGGGGTAAGTGCCGAAAATTTACAATAAGTACAAACTTAATTCATTTGCTCATGTCTTTAAATCGTTCGTTGCAGACCGATATATTTTTCTACACGATACGGCCCATATATCCCAACGAGGAATTGCTGGTGTGGTACTGTCGCGAATTCGCCGAAAGGTTAAACTATCCGTCAAGTGTGGAACAAATGATACAGCGCATGCAAGGAAGTAAGTGATCCAGTTAAACAGCTATTGTTATGACTTAATATGTGTTAACTATCCGTCGGCGTACGGGTCGATGGCAAATACTGTACGCTGCCTTCAATGTATCGGAATTGCCTATCTGTCACGCCGCATTACGGTTTCAAATGAAAAACAATCTACTGCGTTTTAAAAAAAAAAAATTATAGTTTCAACTTAGTTTATCGGGCGAGTTGTCATCCTAAATTTTTTTGGGAAGGGGGTGGCAGTCTTTGATGGAATTTTTCTAGAGGGAATTGTGTACTAATTCAAGACTAAATGTTTAGCTAATTTACCCGACTGTGGTCGTCATATGTTTTATATATTAACGCAGTGTGTAAAATTTACAGAAATGCAACTGTCCACGTCACCCACATTGCCCATGCTCGCGGATGCAACGGACACGGTATCGTCTTCGTCGACGCCACCCACGCCGCCGCCACAGCCAACGGACGGCGCGGAAGCTGTGCTCAAGACGGCCAATCGGGTGCACTGGCAGGACGATGACTTGCGCAACGAATTCGATAAGGCTATGACCAATAACGCGACGTCCATGCGCCGTGTACTGATCAGTCCCATCAAGGAGTACTCAGACGCCGGCGGCACGGACGTTCTGAGGCTGGACGGACTACGATTGAGGCCGGTGGACGACGAAGGCAAAGCTCAAGGATACGCTCAGTCCCATTCGGTGCGGTCCGACGAAGGGTACCACAGTCACACGTACCACGACGACGCACCGACGCCGCCTGAACATTTGTCTGATTCCGATGACAGTTCCAATTGCATATTGGATTATAGGTACTATTAATCTACACATATATTTAGAGCAGTGCGACGTATGTGTATATTGTACTAACTGTTTTTTTGGTTTACAGCAAAAAATCGAAATTGCCTAAGGCCGACGAGGAAGCGGCGGTCGAGGTGGAGACCAACGAGTTCCTTAAAGTGAAAATCAAGCTGCGCAAAGCGTCGCAGTACCGCAAAGACCCGGAACAGCCGCTCAAGGAACAGACGCCGCCTCCTGTGGTGTCCGTCGAGCCGATTGTCGTGCGACCGTTGTCTCCAAAACGGTACGCCGAACCGTCTTCGTCTTGCGCTTCAGCCGATTCCGTTGAGTCGCAGCCCAAGAAACTCAAATACGACCAGCCCATCGTCGTTCAACAACCTTCAGTCATATACCAGTATCCAAGGGATCAGAAATCGCTGTTGGAAAACTTATTGCTCCAAACCAAAGAGTCATCGACGTTTGACCATCATCAGTCTGCCGTCGTTATTCCGCCAATCTCTGTCATGTCATCATCGTCATCGCCACCGTTGCCGCTTCAGTCACAACAACAACAACAGCCGCCGGTTAGCACAGTCGATCAATCGTACGTGCAACGGTACGTGACGGCGTCGGTCAGCCCCGACTCGTCCACCAAAGGACTATCGCCCGCGTTGTCGCCGCCCCTGCACCAAATGCACCGGAGCCCGCCCCCGTCGTTGCTCATGTACTCGTCACCGGCGGCACAACAACTCTCGTACATGCCGTATCAGTCACATTTGTTCCCCCCGCAAAACGGCAGTGTCGGCGGCGGTTACCAGTGTCACTACCCGAGCAGTCACCCCGTCGAGTCCAGCGCAGGCAGCCCGCCAGCCGGTTCCATGTCACCGGATGATATATCACCATGTGGTAGTCCAGGCAGTTCGGGTAACTCACGCGGTTACCGATCGCTGCCCTACCCGATAAGCAAGAAAAACGGTAAAATGCACTACGAGTGCAACGTATGCCGCAAGACGTTCGGTCAGTTGTCCAACCTGAAGGTGCACTTGAGGACGCATTCGGGCGAGAGGCCTTTTAAGTGCAAGACGTGTGGCAAGAGCTTCACGCAGCTAGCCCACCTCCAAAAGCACAATTACGTCCACACCGGTAAGTCGATTGATAATTACATTAATTGTAATAATACAATAATTGTCAAACATAATAACTATCATAAACTTGAAATAAAAAAATAACAAAAATTAACGTTCGTGTCCCTTTGTAATTTCCAGGAGAACGCCCACACGAATGCGACGTGTGTCAAAAGCGTTTTAGCTCCACGTCCAATCTGAAAACTCACTCGAGACTGCACACCGGCGACAAGCCGTTCGTTTGCGAGATATGCTCGTCCACGTTCACCCAGCTGGTGCACCTCAAACTCCACAAGCGTATCCATACCAACGAGCGGCCGTTTACTTGCCACTGTTGCCAGAAATCGTACATTAGCGCCAGCGGATTAAGGTAAGTCCCGCCAACGACGACAATAAGTCCACCTTCGTTCATAAGCGCTTGTTTTTAACCCTACGTTTTTTTCTTTTTTACAGAACTCACTGGAAGACCACTTCATGCAGGCCACAATATCCGGTGGGTAAAGATGAAATGGCCGAACAGAGGAACAGTCCGGAATACCATCAGACGTACCATCACGGTGGCGGCGGTTACGCCAACGGCGGCTTGATGGCCGAACATGTGGACGACGGCAATCAAAACAACAACAACATGTACCGCGTGGCTGATAAGCAGCAGCACGATGACGACGCTGACATGTACGCTCACCTACGACATCATCACCAGCAGCCCATCGCCGTCGACGTCCAACCGGGAGAAATCCAACGGCCGTCGGTGATCGAACAGAGGCATTTCATCGAGTGCACGTAGGCCGCACATTATAGTGCGAAATTTGAAATCTTTATACTTACCTAAAATCTAAAAACAAAAAAGAAGACTACCACACCCCGTTTTTTCGACATTAATTGGAAAACGCCTCTTTTGACCTCCCACAATTCTATATACTATGACGTAATTACGTTTAGTTATTAACTTTATATAAGCTCAAAGAAGCCAAATATTTACTATTTATATATTTATATTATATTTTTAATTGAAACACTTTCAACAATTTCAAAGAAAAAAAAGCGAACTTAATGTTAAAAAGTATAAAACTGCTTTTGAGGTTTTTTAGCGGTCGACTTATAGACTTAGCGAAATGTACTGATTGTTAATTTGTATAGACGTTTAGTTTTGTACTATTAAAAAAAACAGATTATTAAAATAATGTTCCTAATTTTTTTTCGAATTTTTTTTCTTAATTGTGTAGACTGTAAAATGTAATTTAAAAAAAAAACGATTAAATAAAAAATTGTTAAAAAAAACCGTTAACTTGTAAATGGATAATTATTATGCGCGTACAGAAAGTACAACAACTATATATGTACAACATAAATACATTTATAATATATTATTAATGTATCGCGCATAGAGTTAATATATTATTATGTTGTACTAAATAATAATAATATATTGATGATTATAGCTTTCATAGTAAGCGTATAAGAATGATAATATTGTTATGTTGATCTCAGTTATATATTTTTTTTTTGTAGATAAACGATTGTAATATTGAATAATAAAAGGATGGGAATTTCGGTTGTATACATAAATAATTTGTGATTCAACGATAGTGAGGGCACTAATTAATTTGATACTGAGGTTATATATTATATTAATATGTTTTGTTTTTAACAAAAAAATACAATTTTTTTTTAAACCCAATTGGAGAATATTATTAGCATGCCTGCATTATTAAAACAGTTGTAATTTTGTAACATTATATAATCGAACTGTTATTTTAGCCTTATAATATACGATTACATGAATAATATATATACATATATATATATTATTATTATTATACGTTGAAAGAGGTGATTATTTTTTTATTTAATTAGAAAGCTTTGAACACAAGAAAAAAAATTGAATAACAGAATATTATATTATTTCCATAAGCGAGTATCCATTTTATAAAATAAGGTCGCGGATACAAAACTTTCTAGTTAAAACAAAGTATTTAAGCATAACTTGTTTTTTGAGTTGCGACATATACAACACGAGTGTTATGCAAAAATAATTTTGGTTCGGATCGTTAATTACAACTAGGTATCGTACATTCGTACCTATTATAATACAGCAAACACTAACATTTTTTGTTGATGTATAATTAATCACTAAAAATAAGGCACAGATATTTTCGTTAAATATTGCAATAAAAGCTGTATAAGTACGCTGTATTCTTTTTGTTATAACTTGAAAACTTGGAGACTAAAATACAAAATAATCTATTAAAAATTATTTTTAAAAAAGTATCAACATTCAATGAGTTATAAATTTACTAATCTTTGGATACGCAAACTAATTAATGAGTTTAAGCTTGAAAAAATTCTCTCGGTCGTAACAAACAGAATAATTAAATTAGTCAATTTTACAAATTTTAACTTTGATTTGTCAAATATTTTATTAGCAACGACAATTAAAACAAATCAGGAAACAAAATATCCAAGATATAATGTAGCCAAGTAATTAAAAAAAACCCAAGCCAAGAAGTCAAATAATTACATAACCAACAAAAAAAAAGTGAGTTTTTATATTTTGTATGTAATTTTATCATTTACGTAATAATGTTGAAATGAATCAAAAATTAAGTTATGAACTAAAATATATATACATTTTTTATTTTTATACATACAATATAATTGATCATAAACTAATTATTAGTTATTTTTTTATGAGAAGTATAATGTACGTATAGAATATTGGGAGTTAATTGTTTTATAAAAAAATAAAGAGTATTTAAACATTTTTACTAATTCCGTTGATCAAAAATATTTTACTAATTATAAATACATCAAATAATATAAATGTTGTTAAACTAAACACATTTTTTTAACGATTCAGTAAAAACAACATTTTACAGAATGTTATTACATGAAACATATATATTTTTAGAAACGTTGAATTCCTGGCATTGAAGTATTTTAAACCCATGTCGTCAGCATTTTGTTTTTACAAAAAAGCAAGTCTATAAAAATTATTTGTCTGCAGTATGGCATGGAAAAAGGCTAAAGCTAACAAAAAAACTATCTATCGACGATTAGAAGATATTTATCAATTGCATCGAAAAACAAATTCATCATGTTCGTACAGATTAGTGCATTAGAATCTTGAGGTAGAAATTGATATATTTTTTTCACATACATATTTAATGCATATTGCATTATTAAAAAAGGTACAAAATACAAATTTTAATCGTTTCATGGTTTAATTTGTCTTATATTCATACACTTTATAAGTAAGCCGTAGTATAAAAGTAGTAAATATAAAATACGTTAATAACAATGTAATAGATATAACTTTATAAGTTACAATCTATAACTAAACGTATTCTTATAATTATTGTACCTAACAAGTTGTATTATGAATATATCGTTCATTGATACTAGGATCAACTTCAATCGATACATTTTGTTGTATCAAAGTATCAATAATACTTGGAATCGTCGAGACTGGCTAACCTCTAGTGACATTACACTCGGATATACCTTGTATCGTGTATAAATTATAATATGTATCATATTATATGTATACTCAATGAGCGTTTAGTCTGCAATAATAATAATAATAATAATTGTTTATTAAATAACCGATAGTCAAATCGTGCTTTGGTTTATAGGCGTGACGGTTGCGCTTACTTGTTCGGTCATCATGCGATCACATCATAACAGCTGTTCCAATAAGAATATTATTATTATGTATCGATATGTTCAACCCATTCGCCATTGCGCAAAGCGTTCATGTACATTAAAATATATGTAGTTCGAGAGGGGAAAAAACTCCAAATAATCCAATAATAATCGTTACATAACGACGGCCCAGAGATTCACAAGAACGCGCAGAGATAATATAATATTATTATGTAGGTATATTATTGTTGTGGAGCTTTTTATTTTTAATTTATGAAACTGCCGGACACGATTGTATCGCGTTTTGCAACGTTAAAAAATATATATAACATAACCTTAGGGGGGACGTTTCCGTTTTTTTTTTTTTGTATCTCTTCCTCAAGTTCCACCCGCTTGGCTGTTGCATTGTATATTATATGTATTTGCGTCGGACCACTTTCTAATCCGTACCAGGTTAGTGAACGTACACCACGCGAAGACACCGGGGCGGACACCGAAGTCGTGAAGTCGGCGGGTGGTGTCCAATTATACGGCATTTAGGTATATAAGCCGCCGATTCCGCCGCCAGACCGTTCACTTCTCTGCAAGACCTCGTCTAATCAGTTGTAACTGTACCATTGTTATTTTGTATCTGTTTGCTGTTCTCTGCTTAAGTGTTTATAGCTCGTCATGATATCCAAGGTAAGGATGATAAGCTATATTATTATTCCTAGTCCGTTTTGACTTGGTTTGACTATATTGCTGTTTGTTGAAGTGCCTGATTTTGGCAGTCGTCCTGGCAGTGTCGGCGGTCAGGTCGGTGCCGGTCACCCAGGAAGAGTACGCCAGGTACATATCGCAGCAGCAGATTGCCAGGCTGTCGGACAAACCACAACCAGCGGCCAGAAAGCCCGTTCTATTGCAAGTGCTCCCGCCAGCGTACCAGCCCGCTGCTCGTGCAGCGGCTTACCAGCAGCCACAGCCGCAGCAAGCTTATCCCGTGCCGTCGTATCAACCCTTGCCCCAAGCGTACTCGCAACAGCCGGAAGATTACCAAGAACCCGAACAGCAATACCAGCCACCGTCAAGACCGCAAGCGGCTTACCCGAAACAGGCGCCTAGGCCCAAGCAGGCAACTAGGCCCTCCAAACAACAGGAAGAAGAAGAAAACGACAACGACGTAAGTTTTTTTACCTCAAATTATTAATCTCGACTGGTATTTGCTAAAAACAATATGATATTGTTTTATTTTTGGGTAGGGTTCCCACTCACTATTTTAGGTCAACATACACATACGCATACCAAAATGTTGACATTAGGAAAGCTACGGAGCCGAGCAAAATCCACCTTTTCATTATTATGTAAATAGTTATGGTCAGGTAGATAGGATTGTATAGACTTTTGAGTAGTTTTAGAGTGAAACAACTGTTATTGAATCTGAAGAATCTAATACAACCGCGCTAAACATCAATATTATAATTCTAAAGTATTATAATAATATTTGTTAATGTTGTCAACAAGTTTTTTAAATATATGTAGACGGAAAAATAGACATTTTGAAAACAAAAAAAATCATTATTAATATTTTATAAATACTAAAAATTGAAAAAAATGATACGTGAACAGTATAAACAAACTTATATATATGTTATAATTTTAATAATTTCCAACAAACCTCAAAAAATGAATTTATTACTTCTAAATTGCTACGTTTGTGAATTTTCAAATTGTATTTAATAACGAAGTTGTAGCTATTTAAAAATTCATAAAGAGTAGGTTTTTGATGATAGATATTTTTACTCTAAAACCATTAAGGATCATACAAAATGGGTTCTGTGTAGCTACATAATATATTTAGATTAAAATAACAAAAAACGTTATTATGGCTTGATAATCCGATAAAAAAACAAATTAATAAAGACTCCGTATTGCTTTATACAGTTATACTTATAACTATTTTTTTACTTAATTTTTGTAAAAAATGATCTATATCGATCACCTTACTATAATAAAGAGTAGCGTCCTCTTACTACAATAAACAATTATATATTTTAATAATCGAGTTAATTTTTCGCCAGGGACGGAATACGATAACTCTATGTCAGCATATTAGTAAACACAAGCTGAACAAAATCCTGGAATCTTAATAATTCCAAAATCAAAACTCTTTAAAACAGAATAATTTGAACTTATTTTCAACCTAAAAATTGTATTTTATAGTATATTTGGGTGTAGAATGTATAGTATTTGGTAAATAGTGTATAGTATTTAGGTATAAGGATAGGGCTTTTAATATTCTAAAAATTGTCATGACTTTCCTCATGTGCAGAGCTATTTACGTAAGGCTATTTACCATGGTGGTTGAGTGTTGGCTAATTTTTATTCTGGATTTATGCCGTGCAGGTTAAGTTTAATTGTACTGGGTTGTGTGTGTGTATGTCTAAACGTTTTCGTTCGGGCCAAAATAACTATTATTGTTGTTACTTAATTATTATTATTACTGTTGGCATTAAAAAAAACAACATCATACCTTAGTATCTGCACGTGTCGCGTCGTAAGTTGCCATTTTTTTTTTTTAGTTCAATTTTCACATATTCAAAACCGATACATTACAATATTTTGTTTTACACCATAGTAGCTTTCTCGCCATACACATAACCTATATATAGACAGGCACGTTTCCCTCGGGTCAAAACTACCGTGTGTATGTACAATAAAAATATAGGTTTGTGGTTTTCTCTCTCGGCTTATAGGTACGTATATTATCTAATCGGCCTATCACGGTCACTTACATAACGCCGGGCTCATGTGTTATATTGCTGTTATTGATTGCACACGAGAAACGCAAGTTGTGCCTGGTGCCCGACCAAAGCCCGCGGGGGCGCAAACCGACAAAAAACAATTAAACTTGATCCAGTTGAACACAACCACGACGTAATAGTAATACCTAGTAGTAATAATAATAATAATAACAAAAAATAGACATATTAGAAAGTACCGGTTATATTAGAGCACATATTCAGTTACATTATTATTTGAGCAAAATTATACAAATTTATGGGTACTTATGTTATCCACTGAACTTTTACCAAACATTGGGAAAATATTATCATTTAAAATTGCTGTATGCAATATGAATTCACACTTCTCTATATTATATTTTATTACTTTTTGTTTGCTTAACAATCAGTTTAATGTATATATTACCTGCCTATACCCAATAATTATAATATTATTCGTGGTGTGGCCAGTTGTATAACATTATAGTTATAACTTTTTTTTTTTTTATAATAACAATAATAATAGTAATATGTATTATAAAATGTAAATAATCACCGGACATGCGAGCGCACTTAACCACTTATCACGACTTAACCCAACCGTGTCAGAATTGCATAACAATAAATGGATACATTTATTATGTACAAGTACATGTATTATATATCCAATTTACAAACCGCTTTGACTCTCTGCGGCGCCGGGGTCGATCATTAAAACTTCAGTTTGTGCTTGTGTGTATTAAATGTGCGTGAGGTAAAAAAAAATCTGAGAAGACGTTCACTTTTATTTCACAATGGCCGGCGTTTGTAAGCAATGGAGAAACGGCCACGTGTCAGTGTGTAATCAACTCTTGTTTGCACACGGCGTACCGGATAAGGCCTAGTATACTACTATTATTATTATATATGTATAATATATTATATTGAATTGCCTCGATTTCGTTTTAGAAACTAATATTGCACATATATCAAAATTATTGACTGGAATTCACTATGATGATATTATGAGTAAATATGATGTTGAGCATTTATATATTACCTTCCTACGTATGTATTCCAGTAAGCCAAGTATTACTTGGGCCAATGCAATTGAAATCCGGTTTACGCGAGTCACTTCTAGATCTAATAAGTCTATGCTCAAGATGAATGGCTAAAATATGATTAAGTGAATACCGTCTAGAACCAATTACACTAATTATCGAAAATCAATCGTTCTCTATGACATAGAAGATCGATGCTAAATTAACATTATTCGAGTAGCAAAGATACATTTTTAAAACCGTTTTGATTAAGTTACTGAAAGAATTTAACGTTTAACGACCGCTTGTAGATTGCAAAAGAAATTTTTTAAACTATACTTTACCTTTCAAGTGCTAGGCCAGAAAAAGGGCTTTTTCATAATTTAAATTTTATAAAAAAAAATCGTATAATACCATAAGGAAAAATACATTAACTCAACTCTAGCACTTATCACTATTATCGGAACCAATAAATAATTTTGACGTAGGCATGGTTCTATTTAGGTTAGACATTTATTTGTTAATGATCGCATTTTAGATTTAAAATCCCACCGCTTATTGTATGTTGAATGCGGGGTTTTAGGAGTTAATCGGATTTTACATACCCTTCATAAAGCCAGATTACTACTAGTATATTTAAATACAAGAAAATCAGATTTACCGCCCAAACTAGTAAGTCATTAGGTATATCAGTTGTGAGACTTCGTTGACTGTGGTAGAATTCATTTGTCATAGTATTTTTAGATAATACAATAACCGCAAGATTAAAAAAGACCAGTTTTAGTACAACGCATGCATAGGGGTTAAAACACGCTGTAGATGAGTCATTTTTAAAAATAGCTGTAGTTAAATATTTATCATATGTTTTTAATATTTTGCATTTATATATTTTAGCCCAACGCTCAATACCAGTTCTCGTTCGACATTAGCGACGACGAATCGACCAACTATCATAACCGCAAAGAGACTAGAGACGGGCAAAAAATAACTGGCAGTTACAGCGTCGTCGATTCTGACGGTTTTATCAGGACAGTAACTTACACAGCTGATCCCGAAGAGGTATTATAACACTAAAATAATAATAACACTTTGAACTTATATTTCATGTAAAGAAATTTAAGTAGAAAAGCATATGCTCGGATAAATGACCAGACACCAAATTTTAGTTTTAATTATGTCAAATTTATTTATTAAAAATTGTTTTTTTTTATGTTTTTGTCCAGGATTTCAAACACGTTATTTACAATGTTTTTAAAATATTATTTAAATATTGTCATGTAGATGGAAATATTTCTATAATATTTTAATAAAAATGTAACGAGAAACATTATGAAATATGTCCACTTGCATAACAATTTTTTTTATACTATATTATTATATACCTAGTAAAAAGCATTTATGATACGTTGAAAATCCGGCTAAATATTGTTTTGAAAAAAATGTTAAATTTTTAGGCAATGGACTTATTGAAAATATTTTTATTTTTTCGCTGTCCGGGAAATAACATTAAGCGAATTATATATTATATTATTTGAGGTTTATTGGAGCAGTACATTTTTTTCCAGTCGAATCATTTCTAAATCTGATGCCTGGTAGATTAGACTGCCCTGAAACATTGTATAACGCTAAAATTCGACGGGTAAATAACAACACCTTTATGTTTATGTTCTCAAGGGATTCAAAGCAGAAGTCAGCAGAGAGCCAACCAACATCCAAGTAAAGGTTCCTACACCAACAACGGCATCGCCAGCGCCTCAATACCGACAGGCCGAACGCAAGCCTCAACCGCAATACATAACCCTTCCTGTGAGTTTAACGATTATATTTTTTTTTACTATTTCAAAAAAAAAAATGTATAAAACATATATTTCATATAAATAACATAACAGTAATAATATAGAAAACATTAATTGTAATTATCTTAATTGCGGCTGTACAGAGTAACGAACAGGAATCCGTGGAACAGCAACCGGGCCAACCGATTTCCGGTTACTATCGTCAAGCACAGCCGTTGCTGGTCAAGGCGCCGGCCCATCGATTCGCCGTCCCCAGACCACAAGCTGGCAAAGCCAACGCTCTGGGATACGCGACCAACCCGACCACCGCTCCAATCATCTACCAGGCGTATCAACAGTAACCGCCTGCCTGTTACAGACGAGGTTAGGTTAGGAAAACGTGTGCCGACGCATCCCAACCACAGTCGGCGGTCAACCCATCCCGGTCGGGGCTCACGTCCAGGCCGTACACGTAGTCCGAATGGTTCCGTCGACTCAGGCACTGCGACTTCGACGGTGACGCGCTGTAGTCCCATATCCTAAACAAAACAAAAAAAATTGTCATTGTTCATTATTTTCTAGTTTTAAGATTACATTTATCACTATTATTATATAATTTTAATAAAATTGTATTTATAATATTTGTAATTACTTTGTCGTGTGATCGTACGAAACCGATGTCAACACTGACGGGTGATGAGGCGAATACTGCACCCGCTTCACTGCGTCTTCACAACCCTATTCACAATAATAAAACAAAATTAGAACTATGTCAAAAAATATTAAATAAATATATTTATACATATATTAAAAGCTTAAGTTTCGTGCAATTTAATAATACACAAAACAATTATATTTATTGACAGCATAGAAGTGAGTAGAATGGTAATTTCGACATGTCCCTTAAAAAGACCTGTACGCAGCCAGCTCAAAGAAATTAATATAATTTGTTAGAATAATATTAACAAATACAAACAGTCCGATTAATATAATTATTTACTACTAACAGAGTTGTGCGAAAATTATTTGAATGTTTGCTTAGCATATACTATTATACAACGATTAACAGTAATACAAATTATAAATTCCATTTTATTCAAACCTGATGATTATGACTTTGCTCAAAACTGGTGATAAATTATTGCATTTTTAATTATAGTCACCCTATTTTACTAATTACTTATATTTTGATGTGTAATTGTTCTACATTATTTTGCACTACAATTATACGTCTATGCATTGAGACTATGAAAATTTCAATTCCAATTAACGACTTAAATAAAAATAATTTTATAGATTGTTGTTAAGATTTTAAATAATCAGTTAGCTAGAGTCCATGACATTTATAATTATGTTAGGTTAGTATAACAGCATTAGACCTAGCGTTTTTAAAAAAGACTTGTGTCTCACTAACCATAATTATTTAGCTAGTCTTTTAGGAAATCCGACCATGGTTACTGTACTGACCTCTAGTTGAAAAACGGGCGTCAACAATTTGCGCACGTCCCATATTCTGATCAACCCTTCGGCACCGCCTGTAGCCAACTTGAATGGATCAAATTTATTCCACGAACAGCATAATATCTCAGCTTGGTGCGCGTTAACCGTGGCAGCTGGTCGCAAAGGCGATGAACAGTTCCATACACTCATCATGCCGTCACCTAAAATTTACAAACATATTAATAATTATAATATGTGATAAATGTTCCGTAAAAAGTTAGACAAGATATGGGAGTAGCTGTACTAATAAAATATATACATATAATTCAGGATATGCATGAGGGAGCAAGTACGAAAGTAAAGAAAGCGTACAGTACAAAGTGTAAGATTGGGTGGACTGAGCAGGAATACTAAGGATAATATATATTATAAAATCGAAATATAAGGGGAGTTGTAAGGTTTAATTATATTAAAAATGCAGACTAATAATTAGTGGCTTTTCGGGAGAAGTTTAAAAGGTAGAGTTGAGTATTATTCCAATGCATTGTTATTCGAATAAAAATGTATTCGTGATTTATTTGAAAAGTGTTTTTTGAAAGTTATGTCTAATAAAAACAATTCGAATAAAATGTTACTTTTTCTATCGATAATATTTTATTGTTATTATTATTCGTTATTTACTTAAATTGTTCCCTACTATGATTACAAATATACGTGTGCACAATAGACAGACCAGGTCGGGTCAAATGCTACATAGCATTCCCTAGGATCCCTAATCGACCTTAAACAGTTAGAAGAAGAGGTTAAGTAAAAGTAAACGAGGAAGATTAATAGTAATAATGGCGTTTGTTGGAATAATATGTGCCACGTTAGTCATTACAATTTTTTAAAAGTTTGAAATTTTCTGTGTTAAACTGTTTTGAAAATAGTTTATATAAATTTAAATTTATAATAATTTGGAAATATTTAGATAACATTATGATTGAAATACAACTTACCTGAAACGGACGCGAAGCACGACGGCATAAAAGGTGACCATTTCACTTCGTACACGAGTCTGGTGTGTGCTGTATACGTCGTCAACGAGGAGTACTTGTTAGGGTCCCACTGGAAAATACAAAAAAAAATTGTTAAAAATTACATCAAATCATTTACTCTAAAATGGGATTGGGTATCGTACCAGTTTTACAGTACAGTCCCACGAGGATGACAGTATGAAATCATCGACGGAACTCTGACACCAATCGACGCTGCACACTTCTTTGGTGTGCTCATTGAACGTTCTTACGGGTTTCTATTGGAGGCAAAAATAATAGAAAACAGTTACTATCTAGATATAGTTCAACATGCTTTAATCTAATAAAAATTACTTGTGGTTGTTTATAGTTCCACATCTGCAAAGTCCCATCGCCGCTGGCTGTCACCAATAACTCTTCGACGGCTCTGCCCCAGACCACGTCGAACAATCCATCTTCCCAGACTATTTCCGACTCGTTGACAAGTGTGCACTTGTCCTCGTCGTATTCGACCAAAAATAACGTCCCTTCACCTTTGAACCCGTAAAACTGTGACGTGGCTATGGCCAAGAGATCCTTTCTATTGGGCGAGAACTTTACTGAGTACCCATGTCTGTTAAAGGTTTTGAAAGTTGCCATTAAATTGTACACAAACCTAAGAGAAAAAAAGATTGATACTGTAAAAAACCACATTTTACAATAATTTAACAAAATAATTATTAAATCGGTAAATATTATACATGGGTTTAAACTTTAAATACATTTGCAGTGTTTTAGAAACCAATATTAGCTTTGTTCCCTAATTCTCCTTAACTGAATTATGTAATGCGTAAGCTATTGTAAACTGATCGCAAATCACATGTGGCATTATCTTAAAACTAAAAAAAGATGTAAAAATGAAGAACAAAAAATGTATTTGTTAACAATTGTTCCCCTTCTTCGCGCTATTCTCATGTTATTTCTACTATCGCCGGAATTTCGAAATCACAATATAAAAACGATTAGCATTTATATTTATTACATTAATTCACTTATTTCTTGTGAAACTAATCAATATTTATCGCAGTAAGGTCGAAAAAAATAAAATATTATTTTTTTATCTAAACCACAGCCTCTCTGGGCACATATAATATTTCTTATAGGTGCTATGTATAGTTTTATTATCTAGAAAGCACGATTTTGAAACGAGAACGAGATGATCGATTAATACATTAAATTGATCAGTCTATTTCTTGTGTCTATTTTTTTACACGTACAAAAATGGCTTCTTGAATAGGATAAGAAATGGACGATTTTTAGAAAAACTCATCGCGTTGGAACGTTTTACAAAAGACATTTAGTCATTTAGAGGCCGACACCACCTAAGAACTTCCGGGTCTTCATTTGATCCAATTATCCAATGACGTTATAATCGCACATAATGAAACCCTATAGTGGCGGTCTGAAAACCATCGATCAGCCGTCATTGGTATACGACATCGCAAGGGTCGCATTCGGCCGGACATTCTTCATTCGAGTGTTTCGCGCTGTATATAGTAATAATAATAGTAACAATAGTAAAATAATAATAGGTATATAATATAGTAAATCGTATAAATTATGATACCCCTTCTGTTCGTGTACTTCATAGCTGCCTTGAAAGTATTCAAAAAGACCACTCAAAATGGTAATATAGCACAACCTCGACGGGTCGGCCTTGCGTTTACTACAAATAGCACATCCTATATATTATGTATTCCAGGCAAAGTGACGGTCTATCTAGCCAAACGAGATTTCATCGATCATCTGGACAGCGTGGACCCAATCGACGGTGTCGTCGTCGTGGAAAATGACTACTTGCAAGGCAGAAAAGTGTTTGGAATGGTAACGCGTCGTAGCCGAGTTGAAACCCGTTTTAAAGGGATCGATTTAAGTACATTAGGTGTTTTTTTTTTTTAGGTGTCGACAACGTATAGGTACGGAAGGGCCGAGGACGAAGTGATGGGCGTGAAATTCAGCAAAGAAATGGTGTTGGCTTGCAATCAAATCGTACCGCCGACCAAGGATACGTCGTCTGACCTGACGCCCATTCAGAGGAAACTCCTGAAGAAGTTCGGCACCTCCAACGCTTTCCCTTTTGTATTTTATTTCCCGCCCAATTCGCCGTCCTCGGTGACCTTGCAGCCCGGTGACGACGACGGTGGAAAGCCGCTGGGAGTGGAGTACAACATACGCACTTACGTGTCAGATAGGGAGGACGACAGGGGACAAGGAAGGTCCACGGTCGAGTTGGCCATCAAAAAGGTATGCGCCCATAGTTATAATAATTGCAGTAAAAATCCCCACCTAAACTTCTTAGATCACTTACAACGGATAAAGTCGTTGAAGCCCACAACATTCGGTTGATTCCTTGTGTACCTTTCTACCCCACCCTCGCCTGTTATATATACTGTATGACCCCTGTCCGTTGTAAACGATCCAAGTTAAATTGTCACGAAACGTATTTATGGTTAAGTTGCAATATGCTCCGCCGTCGAGAGGTCAACGGCTGCCGAGCTCGTTGATCAGCAAAGGTTTCACGTTTTCTAACGGCAAAATCAGTCTGGAGGTAACCCTGGACCGGGAGATCTACTACCACGGCGAAAAAGTCATAGCTACGGTGGTGATTAGCAACAGTTCGAGAAAATCCGTCAAGAATATAAAGGTCCAGATCGCAGTACAAATATATTCTTAAAGACTGTTGTAATTGATTCTCGGTGTCATGTCTTCAGGTTTACGTGGTGCAACACACCGAGATCACGATGGTGAACGCGCAATTTTCGAAATTCGTCGCCAGCCTGGAGACTCGGGAGGGCTGTCCCATCACGCCGGGCGCTTCCTTTTCAAAGCAATTCTACCTGGTACCTTTGGCCGCAAGCAACAAGGACAGACGGGGAATCGCGTTGGACGGACACTTGAAGGTAAAACGAAAGTTTCGTTAGAGTCACAGAACCGGGTTACAAAGTGTTGAGGCTAAGTACAGCTATTTTAGTGAGGTCGACCATTTGTCGATATAGTGATTAGAAGTAGACGAATTTGTCAGATATTCAGCAGCCGATCGTCCATGAGTAGCATAGTTCATTTATCAACCGGTTAATCTATCAATACAAGAGTAACATACTCGTAGTTTCACTGTTTTATTTTACAGACTGAGTTACAGCTAATTTGTTCATATATTCTATTTGCGCAAGCCTCAAAATTTAGTATGGCCTCTAAAAGCTCATATGTATAATTTTCTAAATTGTCAAGCTTATACATGACCGGTCCCGTTCAATAATATTATATTACCAGCTAATATAACATATTATTTTGTTGTGAGTAGGACGACGACGTCAACTTGGCCTCGTCCACGCTGATGGCTGACGGCAAAGGACCAAGTGATCAGACTGGTATAATCATCTCTTATTCGGTCAGAGTTAAATTGAACTGTGGCACTCTAGGCGGAGAATTGGTTACCGACGTTCCATTCAAGCTCATGCACCCCAACCCAGGTTAACTATACCTATTTTATAATACCATATTACACACAACGTCAGGAAAATTATTATGATATTTTAAAATTGCAATGTTAGACCATGTAGATGGTAAAACCAATGGTTAATTTTGTATTCTAGCACCTAATTATAACTATAACTTAAATGCGATTATAATTCGCTTTACACCAACTTTTTTTTATGTTTGATACACCTAATTTTAAATTGGACACATAAGGGGAGGAGAGAGAGGGTTCTATTATTTACGGTCGGAAAAAGTCCATCGACCTAAACGTTGTGATTTTATTTGCACCACTAGAGTTAACGAAAAAGTATATGTACCGTTTGATATGTCACAGCTTCCGAGGACTACGGCGCGGCGTCCATGACCAAACAACAACAGCCCAAACCAGCTTTGAAAAAAATGAAGAGCATGGACAGACTGAAGTACGAGAAGACTTATGGGGACGACGACGAGGACAACATAGTGTTCGAAGACTTCGCGAGACTTAGGTTGGCCGACGAATAAAAAATCAAAAAATATTATATACTGAACTTATGTGCGTGAATATAATATAGGAAAATCGGGATGTGTTTTAACAAAAAAAAAAATATACACATTGTTTACTGTTGAAAAATAAACGTAAGCCGATTGTCTTGTGTGTGCTCGACAGGACGTTCGCATCGATCGGATCCTTTAAACTATCGACCGAACCTGAAATACAGGATTCGATTCCCAGCACAAGTTCACGACAACAATGGCACCGCCTGTGCATATGTTATAATATTATGTATTACGGGTAGCTCCCAAATGTCATCGACAATAACGTCCATCGCTTAGGCAATGCCTAACCGGAATGTTCGGTACTGGTTCGATTTCCATTTTTCACACCTTTGACCCTTCGCGTACCGCGTTCACATGGACGACACAACACAGGTCGCCGGGGTCACTTTAATTGATAACTTGATATTATTTCCGATTATTGAATGAGGGCAAACAGTCCGAAACACGTTTGCATAACGTACAAAACAAACGGGAAAACGTTGAATTCCAAAAACTTTTTACTCACCCTTGTCCCTTACCCATTCACACTCAAATAGTCGACAGAAACGTGTAACAAATTATAATCAATATAAAACCACAGCAAAATATAACTATAATTCCCACACAGCGATTTAAAAATGATGGTAATTTTTTTTAAAATATTATTTTAAAAAGTATTATAAATGTATTCATTTATGAGTCTATCAGTTGCGTAAAATTTCTTATAACTACTTTAAGCCGAAATCTATATTTTGCAATTTTATTGTTGTTCGTTGGTTATTCTTTCTTGTATATTATACAAATCTTCAAGTTTCAAAACATAGTGTATATCCTATATAATTTTGAATTAAAAAAAACTACAAGTATTAGAGTATGAGTGTATGACGTAAATATAGTTAAAAAAAGTGGTTCGCTATTCTGAACATTTTATTTGTGTTTTTTGTAACTAGCTGACTCATATAAACATTATCTTTTTAAATGCTGTCTGGGTAATTACTAAGGGTTACGGGTTCGAACGGGTAATAAAAACAAACGAGTACACATATTTGTAACCCGGGTATTTTAAATACTCGTGTTATTGTAACCTCTAGTAACTAATTGCATATTTTTTAACTTTTTTAATAAAAACATTAAGGTACCGTGTTTGGTTCATTGATTCAATTAGTAGTAGAAAATAAAACTAAAAATTGTCGAATGAGAACAATTACACTCGTTGGTATTTTACTATTAAGTTTGTATTTTATTGCGCAACATAATATTTTCACAGCGGTGAAAGGAATAATAATTGCAAAAACCGGAAATCATTATAACTCGTTAATGACAATCCTAGAATTGAAAAAAATGACCTGAATGCATTTTTATATCTTGTACCTAAAATTAAATATCGTACCAAGTCAAATTAGTAGGAGTATTACCAACCTTATAATTGAAAGCAAGTATTGATATAAAAGTACAGTATTAAGTGTATAAAATATAGTTTTAACATGGGAAACTAATTGAATTTTATGAACTATTTTGCAATTATCAGGAGCAGTCAATCCTAACTTAAGTTTAAATAATACCTAATCTCGTTTTTTTTAGTGTCAATTAATAATAAAATATTCAAAATAAAAATGTTGAAATTTGTAATTTAATAATAAAAAAAGTTCAAATGCCTCTTAACAAATTATTAAAATTAAAAAATTAATGTTAATTGATTGGTCGAGTGTTGAGTAATTATTTCAAATAATACACATTTCATTTATAATTAGTAGGTATATATAATATGTATGTGGTACTTACTGCTAGATGTTAATTCCACGTGTATTTCCAGCGCAGATTTGCTGAACGTTTGCAGTTGTCTCGTCGAGCGTTTGTGTGGTAGTCGTCGTAAAAGCAGATACTGTGCACGAAAAAAGGGTTAGCGCCGGTGACCCAATGACCAGAGGATCCCTATAGCCATTCTGCCGCAACAACAAGGGTCGGTCCCCCCAATGGCCGTGCGTAATTTATGCCTGTGGGCATTTCAAAAATATTTATGATTTACTGTTGCATAAAACCCATCAATCATCTAAGAAAACGGTTGTTGATATTGTTTACACAGCCGGACTGCACGTCATCCTTGTCGGTGTTTATGTTCGAAATAAAATTCTCACATAAAAACCTCCACTGTCTAGAGTATTAGGTGTCTTATGAAACCCGCTCGTTCCATACCGGAAAACTTATACTTAGAGTAAAAAAAAAACGGATACACTCGTCTTAAAAATAAAAATTAATACAGTTAGCAGTAGAACTTTTTAAAAAACAATTATTTATTATAAATCAACTGTCGAAACTGAGTTTAAAAAAATTGAACAAATTTACTATTATTATTTAGGCATTTCTATTTAAAATCTATGAGTATAATTATAACTAATTTATTAAGTACTATTTTTCGATGGGAGGAGTTCAAGTTGATCAAAAATAACCTTTAAATTGACACAGAAAAAAATATTTTTTGAAAATAGTTAAACCTCAGTTTTTCTAAAATGGAACATACTGTAAGGGAGTTGTGAACCTCCACCGAAGAATTTGCTATATTGGAATGAGATGTGGAGTTTCGAATACGAGTCGTTACAAACTGGTTTTATGTATTTCATACACTTTTTAAACAAAAGAATAAACGAGATATTAGATAGTTGAGCCACTTGCTGTAGAAAGAGGACAAGTTCATTTTTTAAAAATGTTCAGAAGAGACAAAAAACTTTACAACTTTTGAAGTATTTAAGACTGAATTCTTAGAACTTATAATAGTTTTTAGTGTACAATTTAAACATTGCAATTAACAATGTTGTATAAACATTAAAAAAAATTGTAATATTTATATATTTTTTTTAATTTATGCTTTTATAAGACAGACGTGTCCCATTGGTCCTTATAAATATTTTATTCATTATAAAGTCCTCCGTAAGCTAACAAAACAAAAACGTTATAAAAGACCGCCTCACAGTGGTAAATTTAGGTGAAAACTAACTTTATTTGAAAACTAGAAAAGTAGTGAACAACGTTGAAATTAGATGCTATAACAGTTTTATGAAAAATGAACTACCCATAAAAATTTCTTATTACTCTACTAATAATAGTACACTTAGGTTTTTTTTAAATTTATCTTGACAAAAATTGCCTACACTGAACCCCTTAAAAAATAAGAGTATCCGGACTTAATATTTTGTTTAATCTAAAAATCTACTGTTACAAAACGTACAGGTATTTATGTTTATTCAAATCAATAATTTTGTGTTTTGTTTTTTTAATGTGCTTTGATTTTAAGAAATATTACAGCACAACAATTACTAATCAATATACAAACAATAATTTTATAATTTAACTTAGATAACAAAAACAGATAGTCAAATCCGAATTTGATAGTCCGTACTTCTAAAATCTGGATACTCCCATAACTAGTAAAACGCATTCCAACTAAGCGGCTTGAATTAAATTTTACTAACAACCCTTCAACGAACAACTATATTAATTTTAAACTTTATTTTAATAATTAAATAAAAATAAATTTGACCAACATTGTTTTAGTAATCAAATGACCTTCATCATTTTTTTACTAAGGGGATAATGTTTTACTATTTATTATACATAGTATACATCTTGTATACAATGTATTAAGTTTGAGATAATTGTACTCAAATTTATAACTAACTTAATGATGTACATTATAGATAAACCGCACGTATTATTTAACCTAAGCTATTCCAAATACACGTTTTCGCAATTTGTTTAATGATTGCAAGCAAATAGTTAGAACAGCCTATAATATAATGTTATATTCTTCTTAGTTCTTGATAACACACATAAATTATATTTACCGCGACGAATACGTCTAAGCATTAATATAGTTAATACGCAATATTATTACACATTTATTCGTTTCGCATCGATAATCTGTATACGATTTTATGATCTGTCGTCGGATTAATGGACAACTATATGTATACAAAATATATATACAAAGTATTTCCCAATAAAAGAAAAAATTACAATGGCTCATTGTACCTACTTGGGTATTATTATTATTTTTACGCGCAATAAGGTTACAATTATATCAATTATTTATTTTTCATTCATTTATGCGACGGGCAAGGTGCCCAATAATACAACCTTAAATTATCTAATATGTTATGATATACTTAATAATACATATTCAAACACAACATTACAATTTAATTCTTCAAACTTTTTAGAGAAGTGATGTGCACAAACGCATCATATTATGGTGAATATGATGATTCCTATCATAATCGGTACTATACTACTATGAATCGTAATAACATAAGGAAAGTTCCAAGTAGGATCTAGTGAAACGAGACGGGACTTTAACGTTTATTTGGTAAATGAGAGAAGATACATAAACACATCCATTTTTTAACTTACGCAGGAATACCAAGATGGTCTCATCTCTTCTACTCGCTAAGGAAGTAAGTCCTTAAGTCAGGTTAGCATTGTAATTTTCTGTTTTTAGTTTTGATTAATATTGCACTCTGATAGTGACTACAACATTAAATATAATATTTTATAATAATTTTACCAATAGAATTTTTAACTCATTTTGGTTCATTTTTGGTAGTTGAAATTAAAATCATAAATCTTACTCTTTAAAAGTCTTCAATTAAAAAATAAGAAATATCATACCACTTACGATAAGAGTTTGGGCAAACGGATTTTCTCATAAAATAATTTTCATGGATAATACGGCTATAATTCTTATTAAAAGGTACAATGGAATTTATAGATAATACAATCAAATAAAATATATTTTTTTATTTTCAATTAATACGTTATTTAATTGTTTTAGTTGTTATTTTTTAATTAATTAAATTGTGCCTAAATCTGGTCATGGATTAACCACTCCTATATTAAAACCTCTTGAGGCCGCGACCCTGCAGTAGAAGACAAAGGAGTGGCAATCGAGGTTCTTCTTATTATGGAGCGATTATCAAATTCTTATCTTATGGAAAGCCGATAATAACGAATCTATTTCTTTATTATCTGTAAGATGGAATTACTCTTGGGCGTTGAAACGTGGCGTGACTGTCCGATAACATTTGTAAGATAACACTCGATTAGACACCGCAGGGCACAGGTTTTTCCGCGGATAGGGTTTCCGGGACTGCAAGTACAAGACCCTCTTTGGTCTTTTATTTTCATTCTAATTATGCAAAGTCGAAGGGGTAGTGTTACCGTTCCGGGTTCCGCTGTTGTTTGGTGATTTATTACAGTGACCGTAAACATTGAGGCTTCACGCGTTTTTCTATACAAGGCGAACCGGTTTTCCAATAGCGGGATAGTGCGGCGCCGGTCCGGAAGGAATCGCGGTGCACCATTTGTCATAAAAAAAAAAAATTAATAAAAACCAGTATTGTATACATAAAGCCCGACCGTCCTTGCTGTTGCAGTCTGCTGTGTGACCAACGGTCGCATGAAAACAAGGGCCAACGGTGTATTGTAATTCGCGAGGGAATTACCTAAGCCAGCGTAAACATTGAAAGGATTTACAAAACGATTTTTTCACTCCCTTTTATAATGTCCTGCGCGTCTCACCGCGATAGAAAACCGCGCGCGTAGAATTATCGCGACCAAGGATCACAAGGGTTTTATAAATATTGTACTGTTATAACAACGGCGAAGCGTGCTCGTTTGCCGGTTTCTCAGATTTATATACGTTGCTTTCGCCCAACAGTACAATCATCATAATTCATACACCATAGTTGTATATTTGATTTTTCGCAAAACTCTCAATTATATTATTGAGCCTGAAGGCAGTACATTTCCACACAGCAATATTTATTGTAAAAATATACGTTCACAATGCTTCTAAACAAATAAAATATCGAAGACGGTTACCTAAAAAGTTCTTAAGGTTAATATAATGAACGCTTATTTATTTCTAGAAATAATTATATTGTAATATATAATATCTTTCGAGATGAATGATAAAAATAATATATCAGATACATTTTTAAAATAACTTACTGGTATTATTAATCTACACCAATAACTACAAAAAAAAATATCGTTAATCGCTAAAAAAAATACTACAACAGTTTAAAGTTAAAATATTTCCATAAATTGTTGGTTTTACATTATATTCCAGTAAAATTGTTTGTGATAAGAGATAACAACATAAAGAAACGGTGTTTCGTTTTATTATGTACTTTCGCTTTGTCATAAAGAGCCCTCTAGATTTTCACAGTAGATAGTTTTGTGATTACTGATTATAAACAAAACCCAATTGTTTTCTTCAAATGTTATTTTATACTTAAATTAATTTTTTTAATGGCATGGCATCATACTTAATTTTACTGTTCACAGCGTAATTAGCCTTGTATTGTTTTTAATTGATATAATTCTTAGTAATATTATAATATATGGTAAAACTGCGTAAAACCTAATTTTTAATAAAAATGAAACTATGAAACTTCGGCAATGGGCAACTATAGGACATATTCTACGACACTTAAAAGATCCGCCATTATACTTGATATGCGCTGTAGCCGACGAATAAAGTAATTCATCACAGTTAAAAAAATAATGCTGGAAAGAATCGCGAATCGTAGAAGATGTAACTACATTGTACACATGCAAAAAAAATTTTAACAGTATTACTGTTTTTTAACTGGCGTCTTATTTTTTATTCATGATTCGACAAACAGCCATTTAAACATGGGTTATAAACATAAGATAAATAAATTCAACAATTGCTTCGTCCTGCGTCCAATGATTTTTGTTTTAACCCTCGCAAAAATGTAGGAATATAAATATTTTCTAAATGTTTTGAATAAATAATCATGTACAATAATAATTGTTCAATTTATAATAATTAGGAAATATTTGTAACATTCGTATAGAAAATATTTTTTTCCTCTCAAAATACAATGTAAAAATATTGTAGAAATTTTTATAAAATAATATAATTTTCCATAAAGTCTTTTGTGGGAAATAATAACAGAAAAATCGACTAAAATTTTTACATATGAATACTAATGAACAATTGTTTTAGATCAATATTATAATCAACATGGAGAATCCTTGTGATATGCTTTAGAAGAGTCCTAGTTTTGTATAATAGAACAAAGTTATTAGGTATAGTAATATACACGGTGTAAGTATTATATTCGTTTTGTCTGGAGAGGTAGTGGACAATAAGAGTGTTGACGGCTGGACGGCTTAATTAAGAAAAGGTGGCTTTAATTAATGATCGTGTTACCGATGGTCAAACCGGAAGGGATTTCCATGCCAGAACTATTATTATAGTATTATTGTCTTACCCTCGTCCCTCTCGGCGTTCCCATCAAAACCAGTTCTGAACACTTGTGTGTCCCTCATCGTTCCCTCAACCTACCCGAGTATTTAATTAATAGAGTACTAAACTGGTTAATTGTCTTTTGTTGTCCGCATATTTCGCTATATATACCTATATGTTTGTTTAGCGGTGTCCGAGATTCGTGCACAATCCCCTAACCCTTATTTATGTTAATTAAACCCATTACCTTATGATAGCAGCAACACCGGTGAATAATTATGTTTTTTTTTTAATATATAATATAATATTTTATTTGAACATCAAAGATTAAGCTATTCGCGGAAAGAGTTGGATATTATTCGAATAATATTTGTATTTAAATAAATGAATAGTTGTATTATAAATTATATTTGCAATCGAATAATGGCCAACTCTGATCATGGGAAACTCTGTGGCATTTATGAACATTTTATACCAATTGTATACTATAAAGTATTATTGAAAACATTTTTTCACGATCCTATGTTCACCAATTGTATATTGTATAATATCAAAACGGTAATATAAATATTATTATTATGATCTTACATGAGATATCGCGACCGTTGACACGACGACGTATAACCGCGAGACCACAAAAGACTTGTCGGTGAAACAGTAGGTATACCATGCGGAAACGATCGATCATTCGGATAGATCATTCGACGTGAAACTACTGTGTAATCGTAGCAGGCTGAGGAAATCCAGAATATTATAACAAATCGTGACAACAGTTTTTCGCTGATCGGTTTCAGTGTAGTGCTCGCGCGCGTGCCGATCAACAGACAAACGTATAATATTACCTACCAATAATTTGTGCACCATGCAGCCAATACGATGGCGTACGGCAATCAACTGTTACTTATACTTGGGCTGCGTTTTGCTGATTTTTGTAAGTTTTTCCAGTATTTATATACAAAGCGCCTTAACTAAAAAGAAAACATTACTATGATAGCACTATTGGTGTTTTCAATTACATACTTTGATCCGCAGGCAGTTCGTCGAACGGTTTCTATTAGGGTAGACTCCGAAAATGTCGAACCACTCGAAGGTATGTTAAAAGTTAATATCTACAAATAGGTGTACTACTTTAATATAACATCATTGGCAGTAGGCAGAAGTGGTTTATTAAGCAGACAAAACGCCTAGGACGGTAATATTTAAGCGTAGTATACTAGTATCTCAGCCATAAACTCAATGGCGCTCGGGAAAAACGTGCTAAAACTAAAATTTTAAATTACCTCAAAAAGATTTTTTGATATTTTGAATACAGAATCCTTACCCTCGGTTTAGCATAGTCAATCGATATTTTTAAAAGTAAAATTATAGTAGTATTCCTTCAGTTTAAGTACAGCTAATGATCAGTAAAAATAAAAAACTAAAATCTCAGTTAGGCTTAGTTGAGTAATAAATGTAAATAATTTTGGATAACATTAAATTGTTCATATTTTATACAAACGTAATAAATTAATTTATTGTTTGTACAAAAAATTATATAACCCACATTTCGTTTGACTGAAAGGTTCTTACAATTTTTTAATTTACATTTTCTGAATTTATTTTATTTATAACACAAATTTTTCAATTTTTCCTGGTAACCATATTTTATAGGAAATTTTAAACTATATTCTTGAAATTTTATTTATTTTGAATTTCTATAATAATTGTAAGTGGCGTTAGTAGTAATTAGTCGGTAGATTTGTTTTGTAATTATATTCTGTGGAATTATTTTAATTTTTTAATTTTAATTATCTCTGTGACAACGAGAGTATTAGTGAATCTTTTTAATTATTTTAATTTGAGGCGATTCGTTTTCCGTAGACAAGGAGTTCAACGACGAGGTCCCGGAGAAAGCAGAAGAAGACATAGAAGCGGAAAAAAAACACTTCATGTAAGCCCCTATTTGCTTGCTAAAAATAACAATAATAATTTTTTACATTTCAACGTCATTAACTATGACATTATACATAAAGCATATATATGCACTATACATATATAATATAATATTATTATGTTATAATATGACATATCAATGATTTGCCGTATGATTTAATAGAAACGATCGTTTCTCTTCGTAAAATAGTTTCTGAGTATTTACAATGTAATTATATTGGTAATAGGTACATATTATAATAGAACGTGGCACGCTTATTTTTTTAGGGATGCATATTCATTGTTGAGCGGACCAAAACAACTCGAATTCGGGCACGTGTTCGAAGACCCCAAAGTTTGGGAGCAGAGATACGAGAAAAAAGATTTTGACGACCACAGGTATCAAGGAAAGGTATATACTAGTATACAAATTCTAGTTAACTCTTTTTCCAAAAACAATTTATACTTTGAACAACAAATAAAGAAAGTTTGTTTAGGAGTTGGATGTAAACAAAATAATTTATCGGAAACAGCTTCAGCAGCCATCGTTGCCATCTCTCATAGAGGAAGTTTCCTGACTGATTCGCTATAGACATAGTATAGACTATATAGAAAAATATCATTGGTAAATAATGTATGATTAAACATTATTTTTTTTTTTTAAAAGGTCGCTTTTATACTTTTGGTTCTCATTACTACAATTATAAGAGATTAGACAGTTCATAGTAACAGGCGTACTCTTGGCTTTTGTGGTTCGCCCTGAAGGGTTCCCATACGTAGCGCTAATTGCGGGCCGGGGGAGGTATGTCACAAGTGAAGTGGTCCTGTAGAAAACTAAAAAGGCCACTTAACATTCGGCCTTAACGTCCACACTTTAGTCACCTTTTACGACAGGCGTATGACCTTCGAAGTAGTTCTTAATAACAGCAACTCACTTTACAAATATTATATAAATTTGTAAATTTTGTAGCATACAGTGCTAGATATGCTGTCACTATGAACTGCCTATGATAAACTCTTATAGTTGAATACCAAAAAGGTAAACGGCCAATTTTTAAAAAAATAATTTTTAATCATTCATTGTTTGTCAATCTTTCTTCTACCTGTAGTGGTTTTTCCAACTTTTTTTTTAAATTTATGACAGATATATTGAACAAAAAAAACAGTGAAAACAATTTCAATTTAATTTTGCTATGTAGTCTGTATAACATTTTATAAAAGTCACACGGAATGATTCTCACCATTCCATTTATTATTAACCGAGATAACGTTCATAATTATTGGAAAAATAAAACTCGTTAAGAAATTATAGTGCTTTATTATTTTGAGTTAAATTGTCGACAGGTCAAGTGGGGTGACAAAGACGGCGGTTACGGTGAACACTATTGGGACTTTAACCACGGCGGTGCAGGAGAATCAACACCATATTACGACGATGGCGTAAAATTCAATTGACATCAAAGTTGTATTAAAACATACAATTATTAAATATCATCTATTTTTTTAGGAAGAACCCGAAGGCAATGGTCATTTGGAACAACATAGATCGCCATATCCGGCCTATCCACAGGTAATCAAGTTGTAACTTGTATCCGAGTACAATTAACCATGTATTTAGAGACGTATACATGCCTAAGAGGGTCTGCAAATTATATCAAATAATTTTAAAACTGTTTATTTGTATTTAAATTATGACTTGAGTAGTAGTATTATAAATACATTAATACATTACAACTGGTGATATATTTGGAATTTTTTTGACAAAAACGATGACATTTTTTATAATACGTTATCTTAAAGCTTAAAATTTATAAGGATGATGAAGATAGAAATTATAAGTTGAAGAAAATTATAAGTCAATACATCATTTCAACCTTATTTTTAAATTGAAATTTTTTATTTTAAAGTTTTTAGTCAAGTTAGAATTTACTTAACGTATCTCGTTTTGGCATAAAAAATTAAAAATTAAAAAAGGGGTTGAAGAAATGCATTTGGTCCATATTTTTTTCTTTAAATTCTGATTTGGTTTTAGATTTTTCCTAAAACATCCAATTATGTTTATCGCCTATAAAGTTGTAAAAACAACGTTTTGTGTATATTTAAATAATGTTTTTCTTTTGCTTTATTAAATATTTATCTTAGAATCAATAAAGGATTTGACTGATATTTTTTAAACCAAAGAAAATTAGAACCTTACTCTTAGAACTCTTAGTTTGTAAATTGTTTAAGCAGACTAAAAACGAATGTGTTAGAGAATATCTGAAGCTAGATTCCGATTCAGCAAAAAAAGTCCTATAAAAAGTAAAAATGTTGTGTTTTTTTTATACATTTTAACATCATTCGATAAGAACAACAATATCTGACCTTTTTTTTGGAATAAAATCATCTTTTGATTTATAAATGATAACTCAAATGTCTCAATTTTGGCTTTTATCGTTATGAGTCCTTCTGATACTAAGTTTTATTATAGGATGATAGTGTAGCTAAAAATTGTATAAAATACTTAATTTTTTTACCTAATTCGCAACTGATCTAATAATTGTCATTCTTGAAAATTATGTTTATAGGGAGAAACCGAAGATGGTGATCACTTGGAACAATATAATATGTCTCCTTACCCTGAATATGCACAGGTATACAATCGTTTAAACCAGTTTTTCTTTAAAATTAAAAAATTTAATTATTTGCATTTCTGTCGAAACAACGTGTTCACTATCGTGACGATAACCTTTTGGATCCTTAGCATGTCTAATGCCCAGAGCACTAATACCAGCACTGAAATTGTATGAAATTGATTGTATGGCATAAGAGCTAAAAGGACCCCCCCCCCCCCCCCAAAAAAAAAAGGGTTATAATACTACAATTAATATAATCAAATTATAATTTTTATAATAATGATAATTTTTTTTTATTATTAGTACCAGTTAGATTTATAATTTTGTAAAATGAAAATCTTTAACTACTTTGATAAAATACCTATTTTTTGTATTATACATGTACCTAAGTATAATTAATTGAATACCATGTAAAGTAGTCCTGGTTGCCAATAAAACATTTTAATGGAGTAGATATATATTTTATTAAGTATTGTATTATTAATAATTATTATACATGGATTGTTTTCAACACCTTAACCAATATTATGTATTTATATGAGTTATAAAGATTTCCACCGAAATTCAACGAAACGCTTTTACCCTGAAAATTTACCACATCGCGTGTAGACACTATGAACTATAAAAAGGACATAATAAAATAGTATGGCATTGTCATTTTATATGTTTATTATAAATTAACCAACTTATATTGACATGCGTATTAAAACATAATTAATTGGTTTAATAGACGATTAAATAATTTAAAAAAAACCTTCATTATGACGCTAAAATATTATTTATGAAACATCAATTGAATTAATTAGGTACTACATAAACAACTGTTATAACTATTAAGAGTTTTCCCTGAAATATGTAAAACAATAACGTTAAATATTTTCCTTTCCTGATAATCGTACCAATTTTTTTACATTAAAGTTTTTCCCTTTTTTCCTTTTTCTTGCCCTGTCCTAATCACGTACAAACATTTAGTGTAGGTAACCGTTTTTTATTGTATTTTGTTTATTACAAATACATAGTATAACAATAAACATATGTAGGTATTTTATAAACAATGGTTGACTGTGAGTCTTTAAAAAAAAAAAAAGGTATTGTCCATAAGTCTAGTGAGGTTATAATTTTGTGTATGCATATTTTGTTGCTTTTAGATTAAAATTTGCGGTAACGCGTGTAATGTTGTTTTTAGGAAAGTCGCCATAAGGCCGTCGTATATGAGCCGTTGGTGTTGACGCTGGTGAAGACCAACCAGATGATCAAGAAACCCAACAGAAACATTCGCAGTAATTATTCCAAGAGGGTTCCTCCCGTCGCAGATACCGCTATGTTACCGGCCAGGGTGAATGCTAACGATAAAAAATCAGCCCCAGTGCTGGTGTTCGACATGAAAACCGGTGTGGTGTTAGACGAAGCCACGGGAAACAAGTACACGTTGAGACCGTTGAACGATAATTAAAAATAAAAGTTTTTTTTTTTTTTGTAACAAATGAAAATATTTGTGAATAAAAATTGTTTTCAAATTGTCGTGTTGTTAATTTATTCCAACAATGTAACATGAAAAATTGTCGAATAAAATATTATCTTTTTGTTTTAAATATATTTGGGTTTGTATCTATAATTTAATTAAATGTTGTTAACTCAGACTATAACTATGTATATTAGATGTAGACGAAGGTATGTGGTCTATATAATATACATATTGCATAATATATTATAGAGTACACAGCAATGTTACATGCACAATTCAGTCGAATATCGTTAAACTGACAATCAACGATATACTGACCGTTTGTTCTTCCTGTGGCCGTAATCATATTATTTTTGACAATTACAGTACGAAAAAATAAATAAATAAAGCAAGACCTAATTTCTGCGCATTACATAAACAACGTATAGGTGTAAGAGTTGGGCCGTTTGGTAACAGCCGATATTAAATTATTATGAGTATACCGTAGAGCTTGTAACTCGTTTATTGTCTACCGGACCACGTAATAACAAAAGATCTATATGTACATAATATAGTAGAACATAATAATAATAATAATAACTGAAACGTTGGCTGGCCCGGAGTGGCCGAGTACACCTAACCTCATTTGATATGGTCGATATATTAATAATTAAATCTATATCAATCCGGGATGGCGTCCCGTTATTATTATTTGCGACAGAGACTATCTCTTTTTCTTTTTCTTTATTTTTCCATCCACAATGAAAACGACAGAAAATAAAATAATAAAAACCACGGTTGTACTTTCACTGGTGTGGCCAAATAATTGAATTTGTTTAATGACGGTTTAATATTACGCATCATCCGAATCGCGAATCCGTGAATGCTCGGTTGGATTTTAGAAATCGATCAAATATAACATGGGTACATCCACAGCCGCAATCGGAGCGGTCTACCCAAGTACTTGTGTACCTATGTCAAATTTAATTATTATTGTACGTTAAGTTGAGAAACCGTTTTGATTTCAAAATGCAACGCATGCAAAATCATTTAATACATATACTGCCATTACTAACGAACTGGTCTACTGAGAAATCAAATGGAAAAACTCTCTGAGCAATGAGCAACCTATATATTTATTGTAATGCTTCAGTGAACAAAGATAAAAAAATAACGAGAACAATTGAATATTTAAATTATATTAACACATATTTATACGCAGAGTTGTGAAAAATTCAATTAAGAAACGAATACAAAATAAAGCAAATCGAACAACGTATTAATTGAAATAACTAGACAATTAATTCAGTAATGTCTGATTTTGGTTATACTGTACAAGGTACAGGAATTACATATACAAAATGAACAAATTATTTCAAAGTCCTAAAGACCTAATAAAATATTTTATATTCTAGTCTCTGAGTTTTAAAGTTATAACATTAAGAATATAATATCTAAGAACACGTTTTAACTTGGCATACAGTATATTATTATTCATTAAATAAACTAATCACACTATGGTAATTAATCAAAATAATATGTTTACAAGACTACGAGAAAAAAATCTACACAACATAAAGTTAGCACCAAAGAATCGGATCGGCAAATGGAATGATTTTGGTCTGGTCTGCAGACTTATTAAAAAAAATATATAATAATGTTTTTTTATGTGCGCCTAATTTACTTATATCGAGCGTAATTATTAAATTATTATAATAATTATTTTAATATAACGTTTGATATGCGTGGTTTAAACCGACTTAACTTAAAATAATTTCATGTCCCCTATATTTTAACAAAGGAAATTTTTGTCAATATCGATAAAGTGAATTTAAACAATTAATAAAATTGAAGCTGTTTGAGATACCAACAAAAACCGACCACTCACGATGTATAAATTCTGTATGATTCCGAAATTTCAAAACTTTACTACTTTAAAAAAATAGGGTGATAAGAAATTACTAGTTTTACACCTAAATGAGAAACAAACGCCTAAGCATGACCGGCCTATTTGAAATCCCTATTCTATAGAACTATGTGCGTCGAAATATTCAAATCACATCAATTAAATAATGTACTATTTTAGTATGTGATATTTAAGTTTTCTATAAAATTAAACCATCATGTGCCAAAGCATTTGTTTCTGAATACTTCCTCATATTCCTAAAAAAAATTTTAACATTAGCCTATATTATTTTGTCAGAGTATAGAATACAATTATTTAATTTGTTTAGTTAGCTTATAAACAATCGTGTGTAAACAATCTTTGGGATTGCGCGATCGGCTAACTGTTGTACACTTTTGAAAGACGGTTTATCCGCTATCTGATACCGTGCATTGTTTTATGTTATGCAAAAACTCCCTAACATCAACTGTATGTTTTCAACGATAATTAAAAAGAAGGAAAATTAAATATTGGTCGTATTAGTATTAGGTATACAGGCAATTTCCTAGATATTTCTATCTACCCTATTCCCAGAGGAGAAATATCTGCGGAAAGCTCTTTATAGACTATGCTATATTTTCAGTCACTTGAAGTCATTTGATGTACACGTACACTGAACTGAATGTTGACCGTATGAATTGATAAACGTTTAACCGTTGGGATGAAAACGAGCGCGCTAACTGAGTAAATGTGATCTCTCGCCTCTCGGATGGGTGATCCAAGATGATGTAGAATGTAGATTATCGAGTCGATGGATCAATCAGTCTGTAGAAGAGTACTCAGATTACGACGGTACTCGTTAACGCGGTGGGGGTACGCGAATATAATAATACTAAAACATCATAACAATAAAATGAAACGGTATTGTCTGCATCGCGTGGAAAAAAGTTATGATAACGTCAAAACATTTCAGTTTTAAACGTGAAATAGAGGGGAACAGGAGAAACTGGCAGCATAGTCCTAACAGCACCCGCAACAGGAGACAATCCGTTCGCTGGACTCGTCGGAGCAAGTGATCTTGCTCAAATACATTAAAAATAATAATAATATTATTATTATAAATAACAGTTAATTAAATTTATTGTTGTTTTTAACTTTTTTTTTTAAACATATTTTTTATATCAACCTGCCATAATGAAATTCGTATGCTATTGTTTGGTGAGTACATTACACGTTATATTGTTTATATTGTTATTTAATTGGGTTTAATACTCTACAATTTACACCATGCCTTGTGTCTAAGAAGACATAATTTTCGATAGACTAACCACGTGCAATAAAAATTAAGGAAAAAGTATTATAAAAATCCTGTGAAAATGATTTCCTCACATTATAGTCGAACTCAAACCAGAGACCCTTTAAATGTCGGTCGAGTGGTTCTTAATTGATTTTTAACAACGACAGGTTAAAATCCAGGGCTTCGACCAAATTTGTTTTCTATCTAATTTCAACCCCTTATGACTTTTATAATGGGCATAGATATTGATTATACCTAAGTTATATTAGTTTAAGTATTTGAAACCGAACGTGGCTAATCTGGACATAATTATTATTTACTCATCGAAAAATAACAATATAATTTGAATAAACATTATTTATCAATCCTTAATAAAACCCTTTATTCATATAAAAAAATACTGTCCATACGATAAAAGAAATTATAACTTTGATAAAAAAATTTTAAATTGATAAACAAACGAATGCTTAATAAAAATTTCGTTTAGGGGCATATTTTACATAAAAACCCGGCTATACCCTTTCGCCCAAAATAGTCTGTTAACGAGCCGTTCAGAAGTTGCTTCTTTCGCCTCGTTTCAGTACTACTGCCCTCCCCAGAGCTCGGAAACCTCGGGGTCCCTAAGCCCGTAGCACAATGCGTTCCCTTGAAAGAAAAATAGTTTTAAGATTTAAAAATAGTTATAATATAGAATATAATATAAAACTCAATTAGGTACTAAAGTTACTTGTTTTAATAAACAAATTTAGACAAAGTTTTCTTTAGCTTCAATATGAAGCTAAGAAGGTATCTTCTATACTAAGAATTATTTGATTTAGAGAAAAAAAATGGGAAAATATTTTAAAATAGTAATTAAATCGAAAAATTGTCGAAACTCGCGTTGGTCGATCGCTATTTAAAGCGCGCCGGTTAGGCCAAAAATGCGAAATAATTAATTAAAGACTATACACTTCCATAGTTTGCCAAAGGGTCTGTGACCAAAAATGGGCGTAAAAGATTAGGTAATTATAGCTCTCTCTAAATTTTGTTTTAGTTTTTATCCATCCACAATATGTACACCTTTCAGTTCATCGTTTTAGTTAACATGGTACAGTATACACTGTGCATCGCTATTATTCGATTCTAGAGACTTTAGTCGCTGTTCATGGCAGATGAGTAGTCACTTGAGCACATATAAACCTTTTTTTATGGCATTTATTCGGGTATTAAGTATATCCATAGACACATTTTAAACTTATTGACAATAAAAGGTTAACACTATATACAATAAAATACTATTTTTTTTTTGCACTTTGAAAATTTAAATGGGCAACAATACGTTTCCTGTAACAATAACCGGAAAATACCATATGAAATCGTACCAACCATAATATTATTATAATTATTGTTATTGGGAATTTTGTCCCCATTATACGTCTTGAATCGTCAGTTACTCGCGATTTTTCTTTTTCTGTGTACATTCAACTAATAGATAAATATAATATATTATACGTATTAAAAAAAAACCATTTAATTCGCCAAAACTGACACTGCGAGCTGGACGTTTCGGGCGGCGGCGGGATGAGGGGAGAGGGATCAAAGATAAATAATATAGCATAAACTGTTCGAGGACGGTGACACAACCCGATTTCTGCGTGTATGTAGGTACGATTTTTACTTTTTCCACGCATAATATAACGCATAAATGTGCCATATACCTCGTTGATGGTCACTTTCCCTCATGTCAAAATCCCACGTGTACTGTATTAGTGACGGTTTCCAGCGGAGATGAAAAGAATACGAGCAGAAAAAAAAACAGTCAGCCAGCAATCTTCTAGCGGACAATAAATAGAAAATATATTTTCTTGGCCTCGTTATTGTTTTCGTTTCAAACATGTGCGCTTATCGCGTTGCACAACCATCACCAATACCACCAATGCCGCCGACCACCTGTGCAAATTTGTTTTTTAATTTAAAAAATCAGCACCGTTTATTACATTGTATTTGTTTTCGAATCATTCCAGTATATTTAAGGACTGAACGTCAGAGCGCTTATCATTGTACTGTATATAAAGAGCATTTGCAGCGGTTAAGCGGTAACTGATGTTATGAAGCGGTGTACCCTGCAATGGATCCGAGTAATTACCTCTTACTGCTGCTCAACTATACAATCTATTTAGTATTTATATGGTCATTCTAAAGTGTTGATATAGTTGTACCAGAGATTCGGTAATTGCATATGATATATTATAATTTGCTCAACGAATAGCTAGAAAATATTAGTATTACACCTAAAACAAGTTTTCTTCGCACGCCGTTCAAACTTATGGGACAGCTGACAAATATGTTGTCAGTTCACCCTTAGTCGTAATTTAAGTATAGAAAATTTGTCAAATATTTTATTAGCCTTAAAACCTTAAGTCGCACAAGTAACGGGCTCTGAATTAGTACATAAATTCTTAAAACAATGACACAATTGAAATTAGAGTAAGATACAAGACGAATGTCGACAACACCAACTTGATGTCTGATTTAAATGGGAAATAAAGAGATAGAAGATGGAGATGATTACATAATATTAGTTGAACATTATATCAACAAAATTCTTTTAGGGGACAATTATTTCCCTTCGGAGAAGACATAGACATAGTTATTACCGCATCTTTGCTGCGGCTACACAAACGTTAGAAAAAGTATAGTCGCAAGAGCCAAGTGTCAATAGTTCAGACCCGTTGCGTATAGTCCATCTTCAGAATAGACACAGTTACTCGTTAGCTGCTGCAACACAATTTAACAGAGAACTAAATATACAGTTGTAGCAGTTGAGTGGTAACTATAAGCTTCGAAGTAGAACTCTGAAATGAATCAAAAACGTCAGTACAATACTTAACACATGTAACAGTCTATAATTATAGGTAACAGTTAGTTAATTACTTTGCAGTACGCCTTTCGCTTGACGTTGACTCCTATGCAGTTTGCACACGAGCGACCGCACTTATCGCTTTATACTTAAATGTCTTATTTTGATTAATTGTAAGAGTAGTTTTATAAGTTATTATACTTGGAAAACCGTGTTCGCCAATATAAACAATAATCCAAGTCTTTCGTATTTTTTTCAGGTGTTCCTCTCGGCCGCCTCCGTTGCCGTATCCCTCGAAGTGAAAAAAGTGTACGTCATCGAACGCGACTATAAGACGGGTAAGTCCTACTAAAAAATCAAAAAAAATCTCGTATTATAATACAGATGAACATCTGTGATAAAAACCGTATTGTACACTGAATTCATTTGTGTACTTGTCGAGCGTTAAATGAGCATGACCGACTATCGTAAACACACAGAGACTGAAAATAATCGTGTCTAGCGCTCCGCCACGTATTACATAAGCCGCCGGAGAAATCCTTGACCGAATGGAAAATCTAATAAGAATCTTTTCATTAGAACCGACGCGACAGTCCTACGTGGCTCACAGCAAAGACTTAATACCGACAAATGGAAAACAACATTATGCGAATCGTATCGACACTAATCTTCTTATTCTTTTGCCAACAGTACGCCTACTTCTTATAACATTAACCGCATGTATTCCAACTGTTGTGGAACGAATATGGCCATCACAATATCGTTGTCGTTGTCAACAAATACCTCACACACGAATTTTTACGCCTATTGCTCATTAAAAAAGGCTTCTTTAATAGTTTTTAAATTCTTTATTTTAATCGCGATGTATGGATTTTCGATAATATAGATACTTCCTTTGGTAGACAAACACTTATCAATATTTCTTTTCATAGTTTACAAAACGTAATTTTTTTTGTAAAACAATTTTAAAAAAAAGTAATGATTTTTTATTTTAAATTGTTCTTTTGTAAATTTTCGAGACTATCATGTTATATAGACAAAACAAACTATTAAATATTTTTTTAAAAAATCTATCCGTTGAACGGTTTGAGATCTCAAAAGAACACAAATTACAAACATTGTAAAATCAATACCATCTCACCTACGCGTCGAAACTAAAATTGAAAAAAAATTTAAGTCACTTTTGATTGGTACTAAATGTAAAAAGAAATTGTCACAAAACTCGCAGGTTTTAAAGTCTAATGGCCATTTCACCCTCGTCGTCCACGTTTAGCCGAAGATTTTCCTAAAGAATGTCCACATTAACGTTTCCGTTATGTGTGCTATATTCTACGGCCAATGATAATATTATGATGGATTTGACGTCGAACAATCTAAGCGACAGAAAAACACAATACGCCAAACGTCAGAACAGTACATAATGGTCTAAAGATTAATGAGCGCATAATTTGATGATATAACAGTTGGACGTGAAAATTGTATTTTGGTAATTTAAGCTAAACGCAATTCGATTAAATCGCAGGATAGACAATTTAACGCACATTTAATTACACGGGTTATGTCGTGCGTAGGCGATTCGATACAACAACAATATAATATTAACGGTAAACACAAACAAAACACAGACAAGGTTGTTTTTCGCGGATGGTAACGGCGAGGCATTTAGATGATTTCGCCGAGCAGAAAAACTGATAACGAGGAAACAACAATTATAATTATTTTCTTAGAAAAAACGAGAAAGTAGATTTAATCTAATCAGTATTCGGAGCAAAAGTTTTTATTTCACTTTTAATGTTACTTTTGTGTTTATTTTCCACAGTAATAATCACTGCACTAAATACAATTTGGCCTTTTTTTTTGGATTAGCCATAGATTCTCTCTCAAACACATCTAGTTATTTTTTTAATTGCCTCCCAACTCCCAAGACGTACAACTATAATTTTCTAAATTTATTTTCAAATCGATTTTTTATTCTATTATCTTTGCAAAATTCAGAACCTATGTAGAATTTTTTTAAACAAAAAATAAAACAAGCTAATTAAGATCTTTGTTTTGTAATTAAAATTTGAATTTTTTTAAACTGAAAATTCTGATTTATTATGGGTTTTGTTCCAAATAAAAGGAGAACAAATTATTTGAATAAAATATTATTTTATTATTCGAATAATATTATCGGATTTTGTAAGTTTAATTTTTAAAAATATTTTTTTAATCGTTTTCAGGAGTGTTGAGAGCCAGACGCCAAAACGTGCCAACCGCGCACACCGTTGCCAGGATCGGTGGTCAGACGGATCAGTTTCACGGACCTTCTCTGCCGCTGGTAGCACAGCCGCATCCGTTGGATTTGGCGTCAACGGTAGATCTCACAGTGGACAGAACGCCAACGGACTACCTGACGCCGCCCAGCGTGGACTTCACATTCCAGAATTTCCAGTCGGACCCATTGAAAACGCAAGAGTCGCAGCATCAGAGCGTCGGCGGGCCGCATACACAGTTCGTGCAGGTCACTTCGCCGTTCACGCCTAACTCGGGACCGCCGCCGCAGCAGGTGTTCCAGGGCCCACCTCAACCGGTACTGCAGGGCCCGCCACAGCCGGTGTTACAGGGTCCACCGCACCTGTTGCAGACGTCGTCGCCTAGCAACCAGGTGCAAAGTTTGTCGTTCGCCAGTCAACCGATCGAGCAGTTCACCCCGTTCACGCCGACGTTGGTGCACGACCACCAGTCGCAACAACAACAACAACAACTGCAGCAGCAACAACAACAACCACAAAACGGCCGGTGGGATCTGGGTTTCGACGCCAACGAGATACTGACGCCACCGGCATCGGTCGGTACGGACCCGTTGGCCGTGCACAATAACAACGCGGTCAACCTGGGAGAGTTCCAACAGGAATCACACCAGCAGCAGCGCAACATCAAGGCGCCGTCATTCGGTGGTTTGTTCGCGTTCGACGGGCCATCCGCGCCGCCCAGCAGCAGCAACAACAATAAGTTCACGCCACAGGACGCTGTCGTCCGGCCGTCGTCGTCCAACATCAACAACAACAACAACAACAACGTGTTTTGGGGAACGCCGAAAACGGCTCAACAACAGCCTCTGAGGCCGCCGATCACGTTTTCCGAACCCAACGCTTACCGGTTTAACAACCATAACAACCATCAATTTGTCGACGGGTTCCAGGTGCCGTTTACCGGTCAGTTCGACGGCCCGTTGTCGCAGGGCACCGTGTCCGACCACGTGGTCCACACGTCGTTCAGGATAAAGAGACAACTGAACTTGGAAGATGACGAAATGGACAGCAATAAACAACAGGTTTCGACGGAAGACGTTAAAGATGAAAGGGAATACAAAGAAACAATGCCGGTTATTACTTTTGTAAAGACGGACAAACACGGTAACTTCAAATGGAGCGTTAGACAAGGTTATTAATGCAATAACGCAATGCCTACATCTAATTATACTACCTTATAGGCTGTTTTTGCTTTAATCGTTTTTGTAATAAGATTTGTAATAAAATATTTAAATTAACACAAATGTATACCTCAGTCTTCAGTACTTGAAGTAATATCCAGTAGCCAGTAAGTAGTAACCGTGTTACAGGCCAAGCGGATTTACGGGCAATGTAGGAGGTTTATCATTTCCACCATAATATAAATAAACAGTTTAATGCTACTTACTAGATTTTAACTTGACCGCAATACTACCGCATCTCTGGCGAATGTATTTCCCTTGTTTAAGGGTCAAATTAATCTTTAAAATTTCACAGAGCGCGACAGACCGACGTACTCAAAAATATTAACTGAAATGGGGTTTTCTATTTATAGAGCCAAAGAGCCTGAAATGTAGACCTTTAATAAAACTTACCAAAATAAAGTGTTTTTAAGTTAATAACTGATAAATCTTATTATTAAAACCATAAAAAAGCAACACAGTGGGGACTGAGGACCTAGAGCTCACATAAGTCTTATCGATAATTATTATAACCGAAAAGGATGATAAAATCACTTTCAAATAAACGCTCCGATGCGAAACTGTAAGTGGCCAAAACTAATATTTATAAACATAAATAATCGTATAGATAACACATGTGTTTATAATTTTTAGATTACCTAGATAAAAAAAATGCAACGGCGATTTTTTGGGGTGGAGGGGGGGTTTGCTGTATATGTAACGAATATCCCACGACCCACACATAAGTATTTGGAAATAATTCGACCAATATTGAAAATGTTAGAACATATTGTAATTTGAAGTTGACAATTCTTTTGGCGTTTTTTTCAATTTCAAATGAGAAGGGGGAACCTTTCAACTTTTGATATTTCGGGTACTACGATTTGACTGGCCTGGGTAAAATTTTATCGCGGATCCAGCCATGAAAACAGAAAAAAATAAAACCCTATCATTGTGAGACCAGCTCCGCATCGATTCTTAAAACCAAATGTATATAAGTACCTCAAGTATTTATATTAATATTTACTAACTGGTGTATTATGCGCACATTGAACCTTTGTCGCTTGTACGGGTACTTATTGTTCGCCAAAGTAGAACTATGGATTTCATTGTTGCGCCAACAACTTATTGAATTTCGAAAAATAAAAGCAAAAGAGTTAAGCACCGACTAGAACCATTTATCATAATGTTCTAATGGCTTGCCGTCGTCACTTATGGTACCCGTGTTGGCGGTAAGTGAATTATTGACTCTAATAATATACATATAATTATTTAGGTTTCGCGGGTCAACGGAGAAGCACAGCCCATGGAAAATGGCTCAAAGAAGAAATGTGCCCCCCCGCGAACATTTTAAATCTAATTGTAACAAAAAAAAAAACCCACCCGGTAATGGACATCTCGGTTAAACTACACATCGGTTATAATTTTTTGTTTTAAGGCAAGTCGGAAGACGATTTAATGCCGTTGGACCTTTCGTTAAAAACTTCTCTGGTGGCCACGTCGACCAAGTCAAAAAAACCGTTCAAGTTATTTTGTCAAGTCTGCGCCAAAGGTTTCGATCGGCCATCGCTGTTAAAGAGACATTTAAGAACTCATACAGGTATAATATTATTAGATATGTTACACGTTTCGTTTACGACGACAACCGATGTGATTTTTTAAAATTAATACAACGCGGATCTATTAAAAAGCCAGAAGATTTAGTTGGAGATCAAATTGGAATGTTACAGCCAACATGTTTCATTTGAGGTCAACCTGATCTGCTAATCGGTATTTGGCGAAATCGTTTTCACAAAAATATTTATGCTGTTTTTTGCTTACAACATTAGTGTCTAGTGACAAGTTTAATTGCTAGAGAATATCTGAAGGTAATATTTAGATTCAGCATTAAAACTCATATGCTATTTTAATTTTATCGTTTTTCTTTTAAAAGAAAAGAGTGAGTTATTGTTAATTCAAGACTGGGCAAAATTTTTTTTTTTTAATATTTATTTAAGTACCTACGTTTTTTTATTAAAAAGTAACTGTTAAGTTATTTGAAACAAGTTACCTAAAGTTAAGTTTACAGTTCAATTTTACTGCAGCATATCTTTTTAAAATATTAATACTGTTTTTCTTAAATATTTGAATAAAAAAATGATCTATAGCCAACTATGTATTCATTTCTAATAGATGAAAATATTATTCGGCATAAATAGACTTATTTCATTAAGAATAATAATTTTGTCATTAGTTGAACTTTCAAATAATTAGTTTTATTTATATTTAAAATTCTTAAAGCTAAACAACATAAAACTTAACCTAACCTATGCGGTTGGTCTCCAAACCAATCTACCGACTTATCAAAATCATTTAACAATATTGTTTATTTTAACTACGTAAATACTAGCAATTTAAATGATTTTATTAAAAAAATTTAGATTTATTAATATATTTTTAGGTGAACGTCCACACGCATGTCCGCATTGCAATAAAGCTTTTTCCACGTCCAGCGCTTTGAACACCCACAAACGTATACACAGTGGAGAAAGACCACATGCCTGTTCTTTTTGCGGCAAAACTTTCACGGCTAGTTCAAACTTGTATTACCACCGAATGACTCATTATAAGGTAGAAAGAAATATTTAGGATTATTTAATTTTTTAGTTGTTTCATTAATAAACACATAATGTTTATGCATTTTTTTTAATTATTACTGTAAAGGAAAAACCCCACAAATGCAACTTGTGCAATAAATCGTATCCAACGCCAGGGAATTTACGTAGCCATATGTCGTCACATTCAGGACAGTGGTCACATCGATGCGAGATATGTGGACGTGGCTTTAGCAAGAAGATCAACTTGGAGCGTCACATTAAATGTCATAAATAAATAAATAAGAAATTGTTTTGTTGAAAATACAAAAATATTTTAATTTACATTTTAAGACTCATCTAGTTTAACTTTTTTAATTATGTTTTCCTCGTCGACAATTTCTCGTTTATGCGACATCTTAGCTAACGATGCTTGTGAATGTGAAGACGTATCCTGTTTGGTTAATTCTCGGACAACCATTGTTGCGTAGTTTGATGGTTGTAGGGAAAATTCTACTAGTAATGATTTAAACGCACCATCTGACAAACATTTTTTTTAAATATTCATTTAATCTTTACCAATATTAAACTTAACAAATTTATTGCATATTTATGCAATAATTTATAACGGGGTTATTTTTACCTGGTACACTTTCGAAAGGTGTCCGACCTTCTAATTTTTCATAATCAGATAGTAGTAAATCATCGTTGATGTCGTTGTGATAGACAATAGACCAAGTGATGTCATTTGCTTTGGATACAAATTTTCTGTAAGTACCTCTTAGGGAAAATAGCCTATAAAACACAGATTAGTTAAATGTATTTTATTAAAATCATTTATATAAGCGCATACTTGTCTTTCTTCATTAGTTTTTCCGAAGTCAAATTATCTTCAGCCAAAATATCAGTAAACCATGTTCCAATCACATTATCAGGATAACGCACATCACACCCGGGCAAAGGGTATACTACATCGTAAATACCGTAGTTTGATAAGGTTTCTTCTGTAATTGTAATGACTTCGGGAAATTTGATATCGTCCAATACGGCAACATCTTCTTCAGTTTCGACATCTTCAATTGTTGGGTCAACAAATTCTTTATCATTAAGAACCAAGTCTCCTACAATTGGAGTCAAGCCATATTCTTTGATCCGTCGAGAGACAATTTTGTTCCACAGTAAACTTTGATACGAATGAAGGTACAACATAACTAAATTTCTAGGAATCTGCAGTAATTGGTAATAAGACATATTAAGTTATTTAATAATAATATAATAATAATTGTTGATCAACTATGTATATAATAATGATTGTACCACTTGGAAAGCGTTGACATAAGATCTAGGTCCATTAAAGGCTAATGATCTTAAGATTTTTGCTTCGATAGTGAAGTTCTTCTTGGATAATTGGAAAACTGCATTTTTAGGATCTCTCGTTTCCCACCATACTGCTCTGGCGCGATCTGTATCAGTTTCAAAAGCGCTCTCCATCGGTCTTGGCTTTAATATATGCTCAACAGCCTAAACACAAAGTTCAAACAATCCCGATTAATGACAATGCATTATGCTTCACATAATATTTAAGAAATACTTACTTGTTCAAAATTACCGCTGGCTAATGATTTACCAACAACGTAGGTAGGAGACACTATCGAACTGCCAAAGCGTTGTAGACCGTAATAATTAATGAAGCCGTTATTTTCGAGCATATAAATAGCTTTAGCTACTTCGTCGTTGTTAGCTTCGATATTCCTAAAATATTTTTAGGAACTATTCAAATAAAAATGTAATGAATAAACACGCCCGTCTCCAATGGAGGTACATTAAACAAATTTTAGGGTATTACCTCAAGACTATTTGAAAGCGATTTCCTTTGAGATCACCTAATTTCAGGGTAGCATCTTTGTACTCATAGTTACCAGTCCAAATGTTCCTGGCACACACTTTAGCTACTTTATTGGCATCTACTTTTCGTACGGACAATGTTTGAGTTGTATTACCGCGTTTGTCTTTAGTTCCAGCGTGTTTGATCATGTTAACTTTTACTCTGATATAATAAGAACAACAATGATAATATACATTTCACATGTACCATTTTCGTCATTATTATAAAAAGTATATTTGATCTTAAAGTGAAAAAAAAATATATATTACTTTAGTTGCTTAGAAAGAATGCTCACAACTTGCGTAGTATCCATATTGCATTTATGTAGAACAAAATGTAAGTATTCCGGTTGAGATTTAGGCCAAGTTTGTCTGTCTAAATGTACACAGTCATATTACATTAGTAATATAATTTAAATATTAGTAAGCATAATTGAGGTTAACATAATTCAATATACTAGTACCCTTCTTATAAAAACTAAACAATGTCCAATGTTAAACATTTTAATTATTCTGTGTGAAACTCCATTTTGTTAGTTTCTATTTATATAAAAGTTTAACCAAGTGTAAACTTCAAATTATAAGTTGTAACTTAATCAAAAATCTTTAACTTAACAAAGTTACTACTGATAACATTAAATATTAAAATATGTTCTAATCTAAACCACAAATAGTATACAACAATAATTATTTTTTTTAGTAAACCATACGAACCATTTTTTACGAGATGGGCTAATTTTATAATGATAGTTTGTTTGTTTTGTTGATCTTTATTAGTGCTAGTACTAATTTTTGTACCATACTTTGATGATAAAAACTTATGTATTGATGTACGGTCTTCTTTAGTTAAACCATCGACCTAAATTATACGTACATTAACATAAATTTACAAGACTTTAATAAATTCATAATAATTTACTACATACGCCTATTTCTACTTGTTTTACACTTTTTGAAGCTATCATTTCATCGATAGCTTCTACGTGTGGTTCACATAGACCGGTTTGATCGACATAGTCTAAATAAAAAATAATATTATTTTCAATATTCAAATAGTTTGTTGACTCATTTAGGGCCATACCTTGGGGTTCGAAAACTTCTTCTTCTTTTTCAGGGACGGTACGACTAGTTAGACGAACAACATCTCCGTTTAAATTGATTTCGTTTACTTGAAAATCCGATATCCTAATTGTAAAGTACAATTTTGTTTTAAATTATTATTCCAAATCAAAAAATGTGAACACACTATAATACAACTAACCTGTGTTTAAGAATGCCAGATATGCCAGGGACCGATGTCGAGTATTCCGTTATGCCTACGTCTTTTTCTCGAAGGCCCTCGTACAAGACTTTTTTCACAGGACCTGTATAAAAAAAAAAAAAATTTAACTGTTATAAATACATTTCCAAAGTGTAAGAAAATTAGAGTTGTACTAACGAAAATCATTTTGCACAGAATCTGATTTAGCACTCATTTTGGCAACAGTTAACAAATACTTCCAATAGGATAAAAGAATATAAAATACTAATATATGTTGTTAATCAATTAGGAGATCCCAAAAAAAAACAATTTACATTCATTAGTTTTATAGTACTTAGTTACTTTAATAAAAAAAAAACAATTTTAACGTAAATAATAAAAACACATTATTGTCGAAACTTAATAAGTTGTAATTTTTAAACAAGAGCCACGACAAATAGATACTGGTACGTCGGAAACTCGTGTTATCAATGTTCACAACATGGCCGCTTATGTTCTGTCGTAAGAAGTACAAGACTACAATCTTATGCCAGTGGCCATTTTGCGATCGCCACGAGTGCTGATGTACCTCATTTTTTTTTCATCAGTTTGTATTGCCGTCACGTGTTTCGACCGCGGTGTAAATATTATTATCACTAAATTATTTTGTTATCAACTTTGTTGCATTGTTTTTTTTTTATCAGTTGGAAAAACATTTCCGTACGAAATGATATATTGTGACGTCAGCTTTTAATCTATCTTCCAAAAACTCGACATTTTTACGTCATTAAAGACGAAATATTCATAAAATACAATTAGTTTTTCGTTTTTCGAGTTTTTCTATTATAAATAAATACATAAACCTGTAATTAGTAACGCTTATTAACCATTGATCGGTTTGCCATTTTACAATTTGTACAAAATAATTTATTCCGTATATAAAAACTAATAATATATGACTTTTAGTGGTAAGTTCAATAATGTAACATACACACGTATAAACGTAATAAATAGTACAGCATCCTGTTATCTAAGTTATAGCGTTATTCGCACTTTTCCACTTTTACCTAAGTATTCCTTGTGTGTGCACATGGTGTATCTCTAACTATTGGTTGACGGTGTAGTGTTTAGATAATAATATTTTTTAGATAATGTTTAAAATTATTATATATTTTATTATGTAATATCAAAATATGCATTTTATTATTATGAACAATTAATTGCTCATCTGAAACCATGAAAGATAAAAGCTTTATAAAAATAAAACTCGGGTTACAATAAACGTAACTATAGTAATAACAAAAAAATAGAAATGATCTACATACACTTATTATACTAACTAAATAAGACAAAATAAATAAAGAAAAAGGTCATACAATTTGTAACTGTAATAGTAGTTCGTTAAATAATACTATTCTAAAAAGATATCAAACACTAAATATTGGATTGGTCGAATGATTCTTCTATTTAAATCATATATATTTTGATTCTTCATGTACTTGTACTATTACTTATAAACTATGAACACCTGTTTTTTTCCAACCATTAGAAGTAGTATTTCAACTAAGCCAATATTGAATTCAATAATTATATCTTTATTTAATGAATGTTGTTAATAATGTTGCATTATTTACTATACTGTATTCTAAAGATTTTACTATTTTCTAGGAATTTATGGTGTATATGTTGTGTACACACGATGCCGTGGTGTGCAGTAGTAGGCTGTAGAAACAATTTAAAAGCTACAAAGCGTGCCGGTAGAAATGTATCGTACCATATTTTTCCAAAAAACCCGCAAAGGAGAAATGCGTGGGTACAAGTTATAAAGCGGCCGACTAAATTTAATGTGGATTCTTCTTATGTCTGTTCAGAACATTTTGTTCCCAATGATTTTGAGTGTAATAGTTTAAAAGAAGAATTGCTAAACATTAAAGTCAAAAGGCAACTTAAAAAAACTGGTAAATAATTTTTTTGTTTTTGCTATAATTTGAATTTTAGAATCAGTTGGTAGATAATACTCAGTAAATATTAAGTATATAATAAATTAAAAAAATTGTACTTTATCTGTTTATTCATTTTACAGTTTTTAGACTCTAAAAGAAGTGTAACTATGAGTCATTTTTTAAATTGTCAGTTTTTGCCAACTATTTTTGAAATATTTTTAAGTTGTTGAATTTGTGTTTTTACGATTAGAAGTAAATCAATATTTATTTATTATTTTAGCCGTTCCATCTGTTAATATGACTGCATCTATAGAAAGACTGCCGTCCAAGAGTCCAGATCACGAATTTCCTACAGAGATGGAAAACAAAACAATAAAAGTACCTAATATTTCTAAATAAATGTCAATTGATACAAATTGGAGGCATGATTGAAATATACAAGGTTATTGCACACGAATCCCTTCTTCATCAAATATTCGATGATAAAAACAAATATGTCAGCATAACGGGCAGTCAATCAAAATCAAGTATATAAGTACACGATAAAATATATAGTAATAGTAAAACTAATATCCCATTATGCTGCCATTTGATTTCTCAAGATAACAATTCGAGACAATGTGCAATAACCTGTATATTTCAACCATGCATTGGAGGGAGAAAATATGGGATTTGCAAAAAAAAAAAACTTGTAATTTAATTTTAACATCTCAGATTTGTGGGTTTTTTTTTGTTATCTTTATTTAGCTTCAATGACATATGTTTCTTTTTTATTTTATTTAGCCAGAGAATCTTGATGAAAGTGACATAAACAAAGATACCATAACTTTGATGATGAATGTAACAAAATCTGACGATGGCAAAAACGATGATGAAAAATCAAAAAGATTAGAACGTAAAAAAATTGTCGACAAACTATTAGCTGATTACGAAGAAGAACAAAAAAATGAAAGTCAATCAAAGTGTATGGTTTCTGGATACACGGGTACTTTCTCCTCAAATATCAACTCCAATGCTAAGCTTGGCGACAAATTAAAACTGTTGAAAGCAAAAGATTTGCTAGAAACGGCTTCCTCGCCCGTTAAAAAAAGAAAAATGTCTTCGCTATCCAAATCTCACTCGGAAACAATAGAATTATCTACTTCCAACACTGTTCAAAATCCAAAATCAATTAACGACCAAGTCATTCATGTGTCGGCTGTCAAAGGAGGCCTTATGTTACAAGCAATATCGCAACTAGAGCCTATTGTTAAGCAACCGAAACCTAACCTTAACCTATCCGCAGCTACTCATCATCAGATAGAAAAAATTCCATCCGAGTTGGAGGAGGAAATTATTATTGTGACCGAAGACGAAGCCAATAGAGTTGATTTATCGTTGTACACGCCACAGCAGAAAGATAATAGCGCTGAAGTCATTATAGTGACTGATTTAAAAGATAGCGACAGTACTAAGTGTATAGACATTTTACCTAAGCCTTTTGTTGTACCTAAAAATAATAGTTGTATTACGAATGGTCTACAGTTGAAATCTAAAACCGGCAAAGATTCTGTTAAGCTGTCAGCTCAGCAACAAACTCTTTTACATCAAGACAAAGAATGTCAAGTGTTGTTTCCTTGCACAGGCTGCGAGCACAGAAGTTTTAAAATCAACAAACTTTTAAGAGAGCGAACGAAATTGGTAAAAGATTTAAATGTGAGCGGTACATGGAAAGATCCAGACGAAATGGATAGCTTGAGAAAAATGAATGGCGTCCTATCCATTCTGTTAATGCAGTCTGTTAATGAAAAAAACAGTAGGAAGTCTTCAGCTATTAGAGTGGACTTAGTGCAAGACACAATCGAAAGAGTTGATCGCGGTTGGACCATGCAGGACACGTCAGAAGTATTAAGTCAAATTATGAGTGCAAATGCTTACGATGAATTTGCTAGAACATTTGAAATAGTTAATGAAATCTAAACACATATTTTTGTAACTTACTTTACAAAAAATATGTATTTGTAATTATTGTTTACATATTTTGTATTTAACGTATTATAACAAATTAATCTTTGAAACTTCTTAAAACTATAAATTAATACAGGGTTATAAACTTGTGAAGTTAATTGTATATATTTATTTTGTACATCTGTGTAGAGAGAAACATTATTTTTTATTGAAAAACTTTTTGTACTACCTAATTTTTTTTTAATTTGTTATACTAATGTAGACGTAACAGTTCATGAAATTAAAATGTTTTCTCTAATAGTTTTGAACTTGAATGTTATTTAGTGTTGTAAGTAAAGTAAATTGCTGTAAATATTCTCGTTTGATTAGAGACAGATAAGTTTTCAAAATAGAACTTGTTGAAGACGTGATTTCTTAAATAAAGATTTTTACAAAAAAAAAAACCCAAAACTACGCATTAAAAATTACTATAATTTTCAATAAATAACACAATATTTTTTATCTTATTTATTAATTAACAATCAAGAAAAATTGTTATTAGCTGATATAAATAGATAACAATATTTAATTATATAACAACCGTTGTTTTTCTGAAAAAAAGTGGGCATAACCTCCGCTGCACGGAAGTACATAAGAACATAGATATTATGTCTTAATATCATTACAAGTATAGAACCCTGGTACTTGTTTTATCTCTAATCTCTTTCCTCCTAGCATCTAGCTGGACCATCTATTAACTCTAATCCATTATCTCTAATCTTATAGATATATATAGTATACCCGAAACATTCAGCGCGATGCACGCACGCACATATTTTCCGATTGACCATAGCCCAATAACATCATATCATGTTAAAATTTGAATACTTTTTGAAAAATTTGTAAATGTTTTAAGTCCTAAAAAGCAAATAAAGTAAACATTTCTACTCATTCTAAGAGAAATGGTCAAAGATGTTTTGTTGGTTTCTCACTGTGTATTGGTAGTACACTATATCTAAAGAATATCCCACTCGATATTTCAAAAAGTTCTAAACTATAGCGCGTTGTTATTTCAGGTTGAAATCTGTGTACATTTTTTATAAATTTTTCTCGATTTAAAAGGGGAAGATATGAACTTTTTTAATTGTTTACCAATTAAAAGACCTTTTGGGTACGATTTGAGCTCAATAATAGACTTGTGATATGAAGAAATCGGTTCAGAGGTTTAGGATATATATCAGCTACTAATGAATTTCATATGATCTGCCATTTAATCTCGATTAAAACACATTGATTAAAATTAAGTTTTATACATATAAATATGTTTATAAAAACATTTACAATAAAATAAGTAACTAATCAAATCGTGGACTTATAAAATCCGCTATATTGGTCACAAATAAAAATGTGTTAAATTGTGATATTTAGTATTGCTATATTGTTAGACATTTAATTTAAACATAATTAATATCAAAACATAATATATTAGACTTATTAGTTATAACATTTGCATTGATTTTATATTATACAATCAACGGTATTTGGCACGTTAAAAAAATCAGGAACGTTAAGATAAAAACACACCCAGAGGTTTCATATAACTCAAGTTGAGCAACTCAATTTAATTTACAATAGTCAATAACGTTTAGACTAATATTGCACGAATACTGTTGTTTGTATCAACACCGTTACTTGCCTAAGTCAGTGACACATCTGTTCAAAACATATTTTAAATAAAACAACAAGACAAGATAAAAAAAATCTAATCACGAAGCATTCCATTGATGCACTTTTGAACGTATTCTAAAGCGTTATTCAAAATGTCCTTTTCTAGTCCGATTAAGGTAGAAGCAAGCCGTTGAAACTTGGGCGGCTGTTTTTCCTATAACAATAACATAAATTAGCAATTGCAATACTCATTTCTTTTAGAAAACGTAAATATATTATCCTTACATGTATTTAAATAATTTTAGAGAACCCGGTTTTTCTTTAGTACAAAAATGTTATAATAGTGCATTATACAGTACGTATATATTTATAAAAAAAAAATCGAAATTTTTAATTTTACAACGTTCTCGACTTATTAGTAAATGGCGCTTTGGCCGTACGCCTAAACTTACCGCCAGCCATGTCTACCCACTTCTTCTTCGACCACGTCTACCTTATTAGGCGTTTAACTTATTTGTTCGACTTATTCTTTTAAGATTGGCACCTGAACTATAGTAACTTTACTAAAGTACTTTTATCACCTTCAGTTACGTACTTATTTCTAATTCTTTTTAACCACAACCAACCCTTTTATCACTCAACACTTTTTAATATATAATATAATAACTTTGGTAACCTTTGAGCCATCGACAGCCGCCGCCGTCGGTGGATACTGTCTGAGCAATAGACTGATTCGGATTTGCAAGAACTGCCAGCATTTGATTTCGAGCGAGACATCGAGTGCGCCTTCCGACATGTCCGTTCGGGTCAATTGCAAACAATGTTTCTCTTCTTGACCGATCCATTCGTCCAGGGTTTCTGTGGATCAGCGGAGAAATAATTTTAATAGTTTTTAACATTCAACGCGATGTGAGAAGGAATCAAAAAATTAAAACTAAATAAGGATTTAAATCCAAGTATTCAAATCCGCGGTATAAACTTACCTATATCATTTTATAAATTCGAAAGTTTTATTTTTTAATATATCGTCGTTGCAGCAAAAAAACCTCCTAAGCGCCAATTTTACGATTTTGAGGTTTTAGCCCTGGTTACAGAAAAAAAGGCTAAAATATTCTAAAATCTCCAACGTTCTATCATCATTGTAGAATACATGAAAAATAAAAAATAAATCGTTTTACACGTTTTGGTGTTTCCTGGACAATTAGGTTTTATTTAGCACATTGGAGTTTTTTTGCGGCAACGACGATACCCAACTGCAAACCTGTGTGTTATTTTAACCAACCACTGTCGAGGTCAGACAATTCGGTATAGATTGATATTAGGTTGTAAAATAAACAATAGAAAATATATTTGCAATGCCGTTACTTTTGTCCATGTTGAATATGCGCACGAACGCCAATAGTTTGCCATCGACCGGACACGGACCGGGCGTCAGGGAGAATTCGGCCAGCGCCGGTAATGACAGGGTCTGCAGCAACCGGTAACGAAGCGCGTACAACGGGTCGGACTTGGACACGCCCAGGCGTATTTTCACGGCGTCGTGCTCGTTGTCGGCGTACACGAATCCATTGTGCACCAGAAAATCTGCGTTTGTCCGCACACCGTAGAAAATGAACACTTGGTCGGCGGCCGAATAATCGCGGTCGGCGTAGCACACGCAAGTGTTATCCGACTTGATGAAATCGGTAGACAGCTGAAATAATAAATAATAGATCGTACTATATTATTATAACACATAATATAACGTGTAGACTGCGCACAAGCTATCCCGACCTAACCGTAATGTGCCATTGTATGTACTCGCATATCTTATTATCATTATTATGCGAATATTAAAGACTATAGTCACCGAAACGCCGTACCGAAGGTAAAAGTTTGCTCAAACGCGGTGCAGTGTCGTAAGCGCCACACGATGGTACGTATTATACGAGTTACATTATATGAGTTATACGAGTTTGATCTATACAAACGCCACGACCGTTCCGTACAGTTGTATAAGGCTATCAAAATAATAAGTGTATAAAATAAAAATTATAAGGTATAAAATTATTAATTATACACACAAATCATACTATACATTGCGATATGCGTAGTAAATATCAATTTTCTCTTAATTTAAAGTCGAGGGTTAACGACTAGTCCGTATTTTTGGGGGAAATCTTGTAAAAAATTACTTTTTAAATAAATTATAAAAAAAAATATTTTTAATTACTTTAATAGAAACCTATTTAATTACTGTTTCATAAAAACCGAAGTAGTTCTTCCGTGTACATAAAACATAAAAGAAGTTTCGTTATTATATATTCAATAGTTGGTCATTAAAACATATAAATGTTGACAAAATAAAATTGTTCGTCTTTTCACGTATAGAACTAATAGTACTACTTTTTTAAATATTCTGAAAATGTATTCGTTGTTCTTTCCTAATATTTCATTAGGAATCTTTGTGAGACATTTAAACGCCAATAATTATTTTACTCGGCCAAATAGGTTTTTTGAAAACACCTTAACATAAATGTTAAACAGTATTTTTTTATCTTTTGAAGTTAACAATTACTAGCTTAGCTAACTAAAGGAAACTTAACTAAAACAATACTTTTGTTCTATTTTCAAATTTCGGATTAGAAACGAACGGGTTTTTTTTTTTGTATTTCAATAGGCACAATTTAATTAATAACATCATTGTGTTAGCTTTTTAGAATTTTAAAAAAATATACAATATTGAAAACATTTTTGAAAATTAATATAATATGTTGTTTTGTTAGTTTACTTAATAAGCGTCACAACTTAACAACGTTTCTACATTAACTGTTAACTCTTACATTAAATAATAATAATATAATATGGAAGCAAAAGTGAAAACGGCATCCGTTAATCCATAACGAAAACCGGTAATTAGTACACACATTTTACGTTAAACTTGTAGTTAATTAATAAAAAATACATTCTTACTTTTCCGTTATGATGATTGAACATATCCCAAAGTGGAATGAGTGCACTTATAGAGTTCGAAGAATTATCTAAACTTGGTATAAAATTTTGACGGGACATCAACGACGATACTGCCCACCTAAAAAAAATATATATTACAATTTTAAAAAAGGCACACAACTTAACTGTATTTTTTATTGATTAGATTAACCGAATTCTCAATACAGTTAAAATATGTGATATAGTACAGCAGTCATAATAAGTAAATACAACTCTAAAAAGGGACGACAATTCATTTTGTAAATAGAAAGAAGGGAAGCCCAGATAAGTTGTTGCCACATTTTTAATAATTACACCTTGTTTAATCAAATTTAGTTTATTTAAAAAAACGAAGAACTTAACACTAAAAATAGTTGCCAATTTAAAAGAGCAAAAAAATAAAAACACTTATGTAAAAGTTGGTTTGATTTATTTTTTTTGAGGTAGTCATTTGTCCAAAGTATATTTTTGCTATTCAACAAATTTCGAAAGACTTGGCTTAAAGGACAAGCTAACTTAATTCATACTTCCCATTTTTTAAAAACTAAAAGTAACTTTGTTTAAAAATATTTTATCTATTTTTAACATACTTCACAAAACCTATAACCTATACCGCAAATATTCCTTGCACAGCAGAAAAGTTAGAAACCCCAAAATTTAGCCATTAGTGTGCATTTTTTTTTTAATAAGTAAATAAATTAAGTTTTTGCTTATAACCGACAACTGACAACTTTGACTAAAATCGTTTTCAGCGTAAAAGATACATAATATATTCCAAATCCAATTTTTGACAGTCTACTGGAAGCTAAAATGCATTTATGCCTCAATTTTTTTTTTTAATTACATATAATATATATATATATATCTACTATTTATAAAATTCTGCTATGAAAAAATGTTTTATTTTTAAAAAAATGAGAGAACTATTGAAAAACATTTTAAACCTGTCCTAGTAATATGTTATACAACTTTTTATCTATAAATAAACTCTTAAATACACTTCGAAGTGACATCTTTTTCGTTAGTATACTCTCCACTCGTCAAAAGACATTTTAAAATTATTAACGAAATCCGTTTCCTTTGGCGCTATATTGTAATTACTAATATTATACTGTTATAATTCGGGCTGAGTTTGTATAACTGTTGGTTCACCTATATACCTTTTATTGAAACAATGACTGTCCTACTAATTAGATACAATATATAATATATTTGACCCTATACTCGCGCATGATGTGTTTATTAATGATAATACTTATATGTATAGTATGAATAAGACACTGCAGCCCAAGGGACCGGAACACGCACTATTGAAATAATAATATGAAAAACCGGAAGGAGTTTGAAGATACAATAGTGGTGGTATCGATACGCCGTAGATACCTACTGCATCGAGGAGACAGTGAAAGGTTATTTACAGTGTCTCGTGCTCAGTGTTAGTTAATAGTTCATCGGAAACGACCGCATGATGTACTTGCGCACGTTGTTGGTTTAAGTCGTCTGTTTTCATGATCGGTTTCTGTTATATTATTTTGAATTGTATAAAAAAAGCAAATAAATGTGAATTTTGCTAGCTCGTCATGTGCGGTTTACAAATCAAACATTTGTGACAAGACGGATATAAACTTAAAGTGAGTTACAATTATTAAAATAAGTTGTACATAGTTACAATTGCAAAGTTGACAAATACTCGGTTGTTTGTTAGGTACACTCAAACCCAATACAACCCTAAAATCCCCATATTTTTGGGTAAATACCAAACGTTTGCTGGACTTGAGCAAAAATAAAAACCACTAGTATATTTTGTTTTACCATCTCTGTAAATTTACATCTTGTATACAGTTTATTTGAATGCATAACTAACTATAGTAATTATTAAGACCAATCCAATAGCTTAATTTATTAATATTGTTACTATATAGTAGTAATAAAAGTTAATTTTTTCATAATAAAATATTTGTACAGTAAAACACTAACACAAAATTATACTAAAAAATCGTTTGACGGCAAAAAATCTCGAATATTGAATATTTTTAAAATCATAGTTACATAGTTGAAACGAAGTGTATACGATACCAATTAAAATTAGACTATTTTTAACATGCAATTTCAACTTTTATTTTAATTTGAAAAACTAAAAATTTGTGATAAAGGTCCTTTATAAATACTTTTCATTATTTTAATAGAAAAATAAATACAAAACTCAAAAATGGAAATATTGAAACCTTTATTTGTTTTTGGAAAAATCACTACCTACCCAACATAAAAATTAAATTTCAAAGGAATATCATACGTAAAAATAATTTTCCTTTTACCTTTAATAAAATGACATAAAAAAAAACTTGTTATACGCCAATTTGTAAAATTTTAAACTCAATGAGTTTTACCTTTAAAAGTCATCAAAACTTGAGCTTATTGTTGGAGTTAAGTAAATATGAAAAATAATTTTTACTATTATTATTATTATTATTATTATTATTTATAAGCATATACAAAGTGAAAAAAACTATTTTGCTTAACAATACATTAAGCGTAATAGCTAGTATCTATTACGATCATTTACTACAAATAGCCACCAAAATGATTATTATAGTAAAGGCGGAAAAAAAAATAGTTTATCCCAAAAGAGATATTTAAATTATTTCGCATCGTTACATAATTTTACTCTACTTCGCGAGAACGTTTACCGGATAATTTTAATGACAAAATAAATATATGAATACGTAAACCGATTTTCGGGATGATAAAAACATATTAAATTATATATTATATTGTAATATTATTACGGTGAAACTTTTCTCTATAGCGAACACCTGTGGGGAATTAAAAGGTGTCGGCTATTGAGAAGTGTTATTACGTTATTACAGATTAACGGTATACTTGTAAGTATCCGTAAATATCTATATTTATATCTAATAGTATTATATATATATATATATATTAAATACCTTGATAGGTTTCTCTGCACTTACGATGTAACTATAAAATAACCATTATCAATATAGGTAATACATATTCTCACAAAAAAAGTTATATTTTTCTATCTGTTAATTTTGGTTTTTGTTGAGTAAAATATTTAACACAATCGATTTTTCACCCGCGCTTACGTCGTGTTCATATAATATAACATTGTTTCATCGTACTAAATATTATGTACAAAAATACAATTCTTTATACATTTTTCATTTGCTACATGTTTTCACTTTTAAAAAAACTATTTAACAATTGTCTATGAAACAATTTAAATCAAAAGAATTATTTCTATCAAGTGTACAAAGTATCTTACGTAAGTAAGATACAGGTAAGTTATAGGTACGATTCTTACCTATAATGAATAAATTACCAACATGGAATGTGAGACAACACTCATGACATAGTACAGAGAACAGTATTTTAACAGTCTACATGCTGAATTAAAAAATATAACTAAAAATGGGAGTTTGAATAATATTGATATTTCATATTATTCTTCACACAATATTCTCACTATTATTCACTCAATATGATAAATTCTACTTAACGATAATGGAAAGCTACAGTACATTAAGCAAAAACCTAATTTAAGGTTTAAAAGGTTAGTAAACAGAAAAGTTATAAGAGCCTTTTTAACTAAATACCATCAAATATTCGAAACAAAAACAATGAAAGGATTTTGTGAATTAATATGAGGAGGAACGATATTTTGTTTGTTTTATTATCCAAATAACAAAAAATATTTTTTATTTATAAGTGAGAAGCTACATTAGTAAATCCGTCCGTGGAATACAAAAAAATATCATGTACCGTGTATTCAAAAATGTAAAATACGCATTACAGTAAAAAATCTCAATAGATTATTTCTTTCGAAGGAAAAAATAAATAAAATAAATAGAAAGAATTGGTTACATCGACCGATTTTCATAGTGACTGTTCAAATAATGTGCGTGGGAAATACAAGTATTCTAAATGAAGACCACAAATTATTTAAATTATAATAACATTATATATTGTATCTATTTAGTGCAGAACTATAAAATAATAAAAGTAAAGTTGTAAAACGGCGTTAAAGTTTTCAATAAGAGAGGAAAATAGTGTTACATTTATACATAACCTATTTATTATATTACTTATTAATTATTATTTAAATATTTTTTCGATATACTCACTGAATCCGAATATGGCCTCAGATGTTCTCTAAAACGTCTAGTTATTTTTTTTGCTGTGTAAATTAAGATTTACAGCAAGTGCTAGAGAAATTATGATAAATATTAAAAAGATTAATAGAGAAATAATGCTTGTATTGTAGTTCTAGTTTTAAAATAAAATAAATTTTGTTGTGCAGAGTAATTAAGAAAGAGCAATCTTCAAAATTCAATAACTGCAATTTTATTTTACAAATATGAATAAAATGTTTAACTAATCCTCTCTACTTTCTATGTTGCAACATCAACATATTATACCTAAATAATTTAATTTTGAAATCTTTGATTGCGCATACTGATGGGTATTTAACTTTGTACGTCATTCATTCTTTAGACTATAATCAATTATTTAACACAAGTGTAAGTACGCGCGTTAAATAATATGTAACAGATTTTAATCACGATTTTCCCGCAGTTACTTTCTATACAAGAGAATTATAATAATTATATTATTTATTATTATTGCTCTCCAAACACTTCAAATAGAGGATTAGACAACTTGAGCGGTCGAAATACGACCATTTCATTTGAAATTCGATACTCAATAACGAAAATAACTGTATGTATTTAAAATATACTTATAAACTATTCACTGATAGTTGTCGTAGGTATTGTTTTGGCGCCTGAACACAATACCTACAATTAAAAACTCAACCATGGTATTTAGTTTTTTTGCAATTACACAACTGTAAATGCATAGCGTGAAAAAAGAGGATGCATATTTCGGCACGCATATTATGTGGTTGGTGAAACGATCTATTAAGAACGTTGGATTTCAGTGTTATATGATTAATCAAGACATATAATAAACTTTTTTTTTTTAAATAATTGATAGTTTGTTAAACGTTATTTATAATTGACTTCATTTAAAAAAGAAAAAATATTTTATATTAATGAAATGAGAAACATTTACTTTCTAACACATCAAATTAGCCGGCTTTTATGTGGTTTACAACTAAGTAGGTAAATTGGTTGGTTAAAACTGTATCACATTTTCCACCGGTTAGTTATAGATACTTAGCGTTTATTTTTTAAATGCAATTAAATATAATATATATGAACAGAATGCGTATCGTTAGTGCATATACAGTATATATATGTGTGTGTGTGTGTGTGTGTGTGTGTGTGTGTGTGTAAATAAAAGTCTTACAGATTTGGAGGCTACATATTGATGATGATGATAAGTTGTTTAAGTTTTTTCTAGATTAATAATTATTATTTAAGGGAATTATGTATTTTTTTTAACTGACTTAATTAATATATTTTTTTTAATTCCAAAAAATCTACTACGTAACTAATTGCTGTTGACTATAAAGTTATATTTTAATACAATTTACTACTATAAAACAATAATTACTTCTCAATTAATTTTTAAATAAAAAAAGAGCATGAACAATATTACTTGAATTGATTTTTATATAATCAATATAAGTTTTAATACATCATTACCAGCTATTAACAATTTTTGCATATAGTTAAAAAATATTGCTTTCTAATACCATGAGCACCTATAAGTATGGTATGTACATTTATTATTTATTCCTCACGTATAAAAATACTCAACATTTCAAATACTCGCGAGTCACTAGAGCATGTAATCGTTCTTCTCGTCTCTAAACGTATTTAATATTATATATGAATGCGTCAAAATATTCACAAAAGAAAAAAATAACAATATAATATCGATTTAGGCACCGAATAGTTCTCCGTGGCGTATCAATTTTCCCGAAAAATCGATAATCAACTTTAATCGTTGGCCAGCTCATGTGTAAAATTTGTCACGCATCTGTTTGATTGGACATACTATAATACATAAATTATTTTAAATTAAATGTATTTAAATATGCTACCTAAAGCAAGTAAAATGTACAAGCTATCGTATATAGATTGAAAATATTAACTTTAAATTTTTACACTATTTTATAAGTGTACTAAAGAGTTATTGGTTTAACAATGATCTGAAATCTCAGAAAAAAACTGAAAAATAGAGTTTATATTATGTGAAGAATACCGCTATAGAAAAAAAACACAATTTTTTGGAAAATTTATAAAGAATAATTCAAAATAAGAGCAACTACCAAAAAAAATGTAATTTAATATTATTTAAACCACTATATTTCATTATTAACATTTATGTTATCTAATTTTTCTTAGATTTTGTTTTAAAATTTTAGTTAGACTTACTTTTTAATCATTTTTAAAAAAAACGTTGCTTTTCGAGTTAAATAGTTTTTGGATATATTTAATTGAAAACCGTTGTCCTAATTGTTCTTAAATTCACTTATTATTAAAAACTTAAACGATTTTAAACACTTTTCTCATCCAGATTGAGTAAAAACATTCTATTTTCTGTTTTGTAAGGGTAGTTTTAGGACTTCTGAAAACCTACAAATATAAACAAATTTAAAAATCAAAAAACCTAATATGATTTATATATATAAATACATATA